AAGAAAAGAATCTTAACATCCTGTTTTTTTTTTTTTTAATAAGAAGGAAAGGCACAATATGCAGATAAATTTAGCTTTTGAAAAACTYTTTTCTCATGTTTATGAAAACAGCAAAGACCAGTGTCAGGTATCCTCGGCTCTTCATGGCCTGCCCTCACTTTATGGATGAGGAAACAGAAGCCTGGACAGGTACAGTGACTGCCTAGGGCCATACAGTGGCTGCAGTACCTAGGAAACCATTCCCGGACATCAGAAATGCTCACATGTGGCTGTCCAGGTACCTGGGTTGGGAGTTAGGGGGTCTGGGTCCTACTCCCAGATATTAGCCCTGAAATCACACTGTGTTCCTCATTCCACTTTTCTAAGATGGGGGTGGTGATCCCCCTGCCCCATCCCCAGGTTTCAAGAGGCCTCCAGAAATGCATCCAGGGTATTAACAGAGTAAGGTATTAGGGAGCGAAATATCTCCATGTCTGGGATTTACCTGAAAGTATTTCAGCCAAAAAAAAAAAAAAAATAGATGAAACAAATATGGCAGGCAACATATTAACAATTTGTTAATACTTGAAAACTTTCATAGTAAACACTCTATAATAATAACAATAATACAGAGCAAGGCAAATGGAAGGGATGGCTTAACTCACAGAGAGGGAGTCCTCAGGAGGTCCAGCCCTAGGAGTGGAGCATGGAGTGGCCCAGTCTTCACCAGYCTTGGGCAGAAAGCCAGGTTCAGGAAGTGATTTTGGTTTCCCTGCTTCCTCCCCAGGCAGGCTTGGTGCTGTGGCTGGCTGAGGGGAGCCTCTGGCCCTTTCTCTGWAAAGACACCATCTGACAGACCCAGCCCTGCTGGGGGACACTGGGGGCTGCTTAGTGCAGCCAACCAGCATGGGGGCTTATGAATATGTAAATAGGGGCCAGAGCTGGTTGGCTGCTTTCTGTCATTTCCTCCTGCCCCCCCCCCCAAAGAAAGCCATCTCAGAGAGGACCTTCCTGAAATGCCATCTCTTCTGTCCTTGCCTAAGGACTCACAGAGCCCTTTGAACATTAGGAGACTGGATTACCCAGCTTCTCCCAATCCTTCAGCCTCCACTGGAAAGCTCCTGGACACTGTTTCCAAATCCCCCCAAGGAAGCTCCAGAGTGATCATCTTTCTCCCTGTCCCTAGAGCATCCTGAGTAGACTGAATTCTGTCCTACACCAAAGCATAGCATTTCAAATGTGCAGGAAGAAGAGAGGCTGTGTGTGTGGCCTGTTCCTGCAGCAGAGGTTGGAACACTGTTGGGAAGGCTGGTTGCTAGGCCCAAAAGTGCCCATCTCCGACAGGTGAGGAAAACTCACTACCCCAATCCAACCCCTCAATGTCACTCAAATTTTGCTATCCTTCAGCTTGGATAATGGAGTTGATGTTATAATACTCAGTCAATGAGAATTGATTGAGCTACAGCTCAACTCTTCAACATGGATAAATCTTCAAAACATAATGTTGAGTGAAAGAAGTCACAGAATGATGCAGAAATTTGATTTAATTCCATTTCAAAACCAGGCAACACCCCCAAAATGTTTAGATTTTCATTGTGTACTCCTCTATCCATTATTTTTAATTACAACTGAATAGAGATAGATAGATGGAATCTAGGTAATACAGAGTGACTACAGGGCATAGTCCTGATTTTATGGAGCCTAGAGATGGAGAGGCAGGGTAAAGCCCCATCTATCATCTGATCAGTAATGTTCATAAATACATAAGCAAGCATGTGAGTGTATAGGTCAGACCACACATACAAATACTGGGGAATTTGAAGTAAGTAAAGTGAATGCTGAGTGTTTTATTCAAGATGAGCTGACCCCTCGATATGTTCTATGAACAGAGCCACTTAATCCTTTCTTTCTTTTTAAAWTTTTTTTTTTAGTTGTAGATGAACACAATAGCTTTATTTATTTATTTTAAGTGGTGCTGAGCATCRAACCCAGTGCCTTAAACACGTGTGAGGCAAGTGCTCTACCACTGAACCCAACCCCATCCCTTAATCCTTTCTTAAAACACAAAATTGTTCTTTATTGYAATTTTAAATAAATAAATAAATATAAATATATATTTTTCTTCTTTTAGCAATTTAAAAAATAGATGAAAACCAGTCAGGGAAAGTGGTGCATGCCTGTAGTCTCAGTTACTCAGGAAGCTGAGGCAGGAGGATCATAAGCTCAATGCCAGCCTCAGCAACTTAGTGAGACTCTCAGCAATTTAGTGAGACCCTGTCTCAAAATTTTAAAAAATAAGAGACTGAGATTGTAKCTCAGTGGTAGAGCATTTGCCTAGCACATGTGAGGCACTGAGTTTGATCCTCAGTACCATGAAAAAATAAATAAAAGTATTGTGTTCATTTACAACTAAAAATATTTAATAAAAATTTAAAAAGGCTGGGGATGTTGTTCAGAGCACCCCTGCATTCAATCCCCTGTACCACTAAATAGATAAATTAAAATAGGCAAAATACTAAGCACATGCATATTGAAGCTATAATGAAAATAAAGGAATGGTTGATATGTAATTCAATATAATCATTGTTATCTGGGGATGATGATCCAGGAGGGTCACACAGGATTTTTCCATTCCTTAAGCTGGGAAGTATGGATATTTCTTCTTCTATTATTATTATTGTTGTTGTTGTTGTTACTATTATTAATAGTAGTAGTAATGGGGACTGAACCCAGGGGTGCTCAACCCACTGAGCCACATTGTCAGCTCTTTTTATTTTGAGACAGGATCTTGCTAAGTTTCTTAGAGCCTCACTAAATTGCTGTCTGGCTTTGAGCTTGCAATCCTCCTGCCTCAGTTTCCCAAGTTGGGGTTATAGGCATGTGCTACCACGTCCAGCTCTTTTATTATTTTTCTATAAAACATACACATAGACTTTTATCCCCCATTGAATATATATATATATATAAATATTTTAAAAAACATTCTCTTTTGAACCACACTATAACATATTTATGAACTCCTGTCCCAGTAGGGAATGCTGTGMTCTGGGAGGCTCCCAATGCAGAAGAGGGTGCTAGCTTATGGGATGCACCTTGGATCCCATGGAAGGTCTTAGAAGAACTCAAGGAAATCAATTTCAACCTTTTTTTTTATCTGAAAGAAACTTAGCATAGTATTATGCACAGGTATATTTGTATATATTTGTGTGAAAGTTGTCTAAGACTATAAAACTAGGGTGATCACTAAAACCAGGAGAAATTTTTGCCACATTGTAACCAGGTATGAGCTTCTAAACTTTAGAGAAGAACCTTAAAAATTAATCATTAAAAAGCAAGAAAGAATTAAGCAGTTATTGGTGGGGGGCAACTAGAAAGGTAGCACAGTGGTAGACCATGTGAGGCCTTGGGTTTAATCACAGCTGAAAATTAAATAATAATTAAGCAGCTATCTAAGAAATAGCAACAGCAACCCCAGCAAGAGATTGCCATAGCTCCTGGTTATTCTTAGACTCTTCAGCTGTGTCCAGCAGTGTTGTGAGCACAAAAGTATTTAGTCATTTCACAAATACTTATTGAGTACCCACAGAGTACCAGGCACTGTGTTGTGTACAACACAACATTCAGGAAAATGACAGATAATAAAAAGGACATTACCATATAATGCAAGGCAAAGATACACACTACTTTGGAAGCATAGAGAAAGTATCTGTCAACTCTGCCAGAAAAGGATTAGGAAGGGATTTGGAAAGAGACTTAAAGGATGATTAGAAGTCCCTAGGCAAATAGGAGGGAAAAGCCCAAACAAAGATGAGAAGGAGTGAAATAGCAGATTGGGGTGACAACAAACAGTGTGGTATGATTAAAGCTCAGGGTCAGTGAGAACGGGAAGTAGAAGCCAGATTATCAGGTGCCTGAACAAGTTGGGGAGTTTGGACTTTATTCTATAGATAGGGAGAAGCAACTAAAAGAATTTAAGCAGAGGAGTTACAGGATTAGGTTTGTATTTCAGAAGGATCTTGGATAGAGGTGTGAAGGATGGGCTAGAGAAAGTGAGAGTGGAGGCTCAGGACTGTTTAGGAAACTTTGAAAATATTTCAGATGAAGGATGCTGAAATCGACTGTGGGCAGCAGCTGGCATGGCTGTTTTTTTCTATTTCTAGTTAGGGATTCTACTCACTACTCCAGAATTCCAGTGGCAGTGCTTATAGGGTCTGAGTCAGAGAAGGCTCTGTGAAGGTCTTGAGGATTAGGCAAAATAACTCAAGTAAAAGAACCAACACCAACAAGCATCAGGCGATTGATTGATTCATCCATTCATATGTTCATTCATTATTCATTCAACCAGCCGTTTTTGAAACATCTTTTCTTTTAGGAAGGTGGACTACTACTCAGCGTCCTGAGGACTTGACAGAGTTAAAAAAAAAAAAAAAAAAGGAGGGAGTGGGGATGCCATGAGCTTTCATTTTAAGGCAGCTGGAAGAAATTCAGCTCACATAACCTAGTCAATCTCTGTCTCAGGTGCAGGGGATACAGCAGTAAACAAGACACAATGTAAATCTCATGAGATTAGGGGTTTATATTCTAGGAGTAGGAAGACAAACCAACAAATTCCAAAAATACACAGGAAACATGGGGAACAATTAGTTTGCCTGGAGAGTTGGTCTACAGACTGGCAAAGATCCGATGATGCAGATGTAAGATTAGTTGGTGAGGTTCATAAAAGGGCAATGAAAGCCACACAAGCCTAAGATCAGTCAGGCTTGACTGCCAAGTCCAAAACCTGCGCCCTCCTTTTCGTTCTCTTCCGGTGATGTAGAGGCGAAATGGCTTGGTGCCCTAGGTTCTCAGAAAAGAAAGGCGCCAAACTCAAGCCTGAGGGGAAGGCCTGACCTGGGGGCGATGAGGTGGCTGGGTAGTGTAGACACCTTCAGGAGGACCAGCCCTGGGTGTCTGGCAGCGCAGCGAGCTCCTAGTGCGCCCTCCCGCTACCGGCTCCCGAAAGCTGAACCGCGAAGCACTGGGTTGCACTGCTCATACCACCCGCTGCCAATGGTTCGCTCCGAACACCCCTCCCCGCCTGGCGGGTGCGGCGGTCCGCCCCACTTCCGGTTATTGCCGGGCCCTATATCCGGTGTCCGCCCGCCCTCGGCTCCTCCGCTGGCGCGATGCTTTCCCGGTCCCGTTGCGTGTCCCGGGCGTTCAGCCGCTCGCTCGCTGCCTTCCAAAAGGTACGGTCTGCCTGGGCCGGAGCTCCGGCAGGTGGGTAACCTGCTGGCGGGTGGACGGGCTGCCTGAAGGGCAGGAGCGCAGCGCGGTGGCCAGGCCGGACACCAAGGGCACCGGGACGCGGAGGCCGCGGGCTGGGCGGCTGGGGGCCTGGCCGATGTCCTCGGGACGGTCATGCCGGACCTTTGGAGCCCGGCGGCCCCTTTCCTTCCCGAGGCAGCTGGCGCCGACCGTTTCCTGCTGTACCCCACCCTTCACCCGGCTTGGGGAGCCGCGCCCGTCCCAACATTAGACTGACTCAGTTCGGGAGGAGGCGCGGTGCGGTCCCCCAAGCTGGAGCCGGAGTCCGTCTCCTCTTTTCTTAAAATCAGTGGGTACCATTCCACTGGGAATTTGAGATAGTTTGGCAGACCCAGTGTGTTGCATTTATATTACCTTTGGAGTTGTGAGATCCACCTGTCATCAGCWTTGGAAGTGTGCACCTAAAAAGCTGTTTCTTCCCTCTTTTCATCTTGGGTGACGTCGATAATGTCTTCTTTCTCAACAGGGGAACTGCCCTCTAGGGAGACGTTCCCTGCCTGGTAAGTTCTGCCCTTGCCGTCACCTAAAATGCTCTCCTCCTGGGCAGAGCAGCGTGTGAGGAAATCTGGGTGTATGTTTCTTCTTAATTTTCAAAGACCATTCAGTTCATAGGAGTGAAGCAAAATGCTACTTAATTATAACAGCTCTCATTTAATCATTCAGCCCTTGTTATTAAGGTTTTACTGTGTGTCAGGCACTGTGCAGCTAGGCACTCATTAGGGATGTGGCTATTAACAGTTCTTGTCCTCGTGCCCTTCTGGAGCTTACAGGCCGGTGGGAGGGACATGATGTGAATTGCTAAACAAGTGAACAGTCACAAATTGTAGTAAGTGCTGAGAAGGAAATATGAAAATGGACTGAAGAGATTTCTTTAAATTGGTGACATTAAGGCTGAGATCTGGAGGATGGGACAGAGCAAGCATAGAAAAAAGCAGAAGAAAGGGAGGAATAACATCTACAAGGTCCCTGAGGAGGGAAAAAGGTTGATGGTATTTTGGAGCTGGAAAAGTGTGATTTGGCTGGACCACTTTTGTTAAGGGAGACATTATCATGAGATAGAGATGGTGTGGAGACGTTGGAAGGAGTTTAGATTTTATCCGAATAGTGGTTTGTATTTTTTAAGGTGGGCTTATTAATAATGTATCTTACATAGCTTATTATTTTTATATGCCTGGTATAAATATATGTTTAATGAATTAGTCTTATTGTAGGGTTCTTTGTGTCAAGTGTTGTCCTGAGTGCTTTCTGTGCTTTTTAGTTAATCATCATCAAGTAGCAACAGATGTAGGATCTCTTTTAAAAATGCATAATCCAAGAAAGAGGAGTTAAGTGTCATGGCAAGGTCACTCAGCCAACTATTGGTCAAACCAGGTCCACCTGACTCCTTCCTCAGTCCAAATCTTAACCCACTGTGTTCTCATTTGCTCACATACTCAACAGATCATTTATTAAGTGCATACTCCAGTGTGTAGCCACTGTGCTAGGTGATGGGATACAGATGGTCTCTACCCTCAGAGATCTTATGGGCTAGCTGGATAGAGAGCAAATACGTGTGTATGCACAATTAAGTACATATTTATATGTGGTTACTAGGAAAGATCAGGACATGTTGTGATGAGCATGATGTAGTCCAGCTTGTTTTTAAAGACTTTCTAAAAGTGGTGACATTTAAGCTGAGACTTGAAGAGTACATAGGAATTAGTCAGGAAAATGATATTCCAGGCAAAGGGAATTACTTTTGCAAAGGTTTCCACACAAGAAGGAATTTGACCAGTTATAAAAATGGAAAGGAAGCCTGTATGGTTGAAAAGATAGAAAGAACTGGATGGTTCATGACAGTATAAAGTGCTTGGACTTTATCCTAAGAGTCAGGAGAACATATGACATCCAGCACAGTGTGTATTGGACTCTCAATAATAAACCTTTTTTTTTTTTGGCAGTACTGGTGATTGAACCCAGAGCCTCATGCATGCTAGGCAAGCACTCTACTAATGAGCTGTACTCCCAGTCCTGATAATAAATAAACTTTCTTTTCAACTGGAATTCTGAAAGATGTCAAAACATTTCTCCACTTTCTAGATTGACAGGACCAAAAAAAAAAAAAAAAGAGCCTTGCACTTGGGGAGTTTGCATCTTGGCTCAGGGATTTACTTTATTTATTTATTTAAAGAGAGAGAATTTTTTAATATGTATTTTTTTTTAAGTTTTCGGTGGACATAACGTCTTTATTTTATTTTATTTTTTTATGTGGTGCTGAGGATCAAACCCAACACCCTGCGCATGCCAGGCGAGTGCACTACCTCTTGAGCCACATCCCCAGCCCCAGGGATTTACTTTAGAGTAGTCACTACTTGTAGATGAAATAGGAATAATGGCAGATGGTCTTTTTACTTCAGAGAATTGCTGGGAACCTTGAAATAAAAATGAGGTCATTATGTGAAAACTTTTTATAACCCATAAGCACTGTACAAATGAAACCTGCTATAGATTGAGCTCTGAATTGGACTTGGGGTTCCAAAAATTGGTATATACTATTGTGTTCTACTTCAAAGACATGCTGCACTCAAGAGTTTGCACTGCATAGTCATTGGCTGCTAGGCTAGAGGCATCTTACTTGAGAATTAAAACTTGGGAATGTTTATGAGGAGGTAGGCATAAGCAGAAGCTRTCTCATTTGGTGTCTTCTGAGCCTAGGATTTTGGAAAAGTTGTTAATAGATCTGAGAGAGGAAAGACCACAAGACACAGAATATATTCAGGGGAGGCGTCTGTAGTTATTAAACATCAGTTAGGGAGATGCAGTTAAAATTTATGATGAGGACAGTTGGTGAGCAGAAAAGGGCTCCCACCTTTTTGAGAGTGACCAGGGTGAAGGGCTTCAGAAAGAGCACAAGAAGACAATAAACTGAAAGGTGGGGAAATGATTTGCTCAATCTTAGGACAATCTGGAGACCTTGGGTCTAAAGTAGCTCAGTCTTTGCTGCTAGGGTTCAGTGAGTAAGGTTTCCAGCCCAATCCAGTCAAACCCAAGATCCACTACCCTGAGTCTCCAGTTAGGTTATGTAAAGTCACTAGATCAGCCATCACATTTTTTGTTTTGTTGTTTGTTTGTTTGTTTGTTTTCCCCAATCTTCAGTTGTATTTGAATACTTGGGAAGTAGAGACCTTTTATTATGAGAACATAGGAATAATGAAAGTTTGTAAACTTAAGGCAAATAAGATTGTAAAACTCTTTTGGGCTGTGTCATCAGATATCTCCCCTTTCCCTTCCCAAACACCTATTCTTCCCATTGCTCTCTGCCACTAAGGCTACTTTGGTGGAAAAGTTTGAGAAGCAGGACTCTTGTGTGATAAAGATTATGTCATTAACTGCAGTTGGTCCTGCTCTGTCTTGGGGTTAGGGGGTGAGCAGATCTCTTTTCCCTTTCCATCTTGTATCCTGTGTAAGATAAGAGTTGTTGGTTAAGCGTTGTTTTGTTTCTTGCAGGGGTCTCCTTATGTCAGGGACCAAGTTACCCTGACAGCAGGAAGATTGTGTAAGTATCACTGGGGAGTACAGATATGTGGCCATGGGGTATTCAGAATCCAATTCTAAATTGACTATCTGATTTCTTCACTGGCCTTGAGACCTAGAAATCAAGGTGGTATCTTGAGTCCTTAGATCTAACTTTGATGATCATTTTTTTTATTTATGATGTACCTTGGGCTTCAGCTTCATGTCAGGTTTGAACCAAGAGTGTACCTGTCATCAGATGGTTGGTTAATAACTAAAGTTAACTTGGAACCCACTTTTCATTGGAATAGGTACAGAAGAGTGCTCCTAAATATTCTAGTTGGATATAAGCACAGCTGAAGGACTGGAGGGGACATGTATTGTGGAGATTGAGAGCATCCTCTTGGCAGCATAGTTACTCATTTTAGAAACAGAAAAAGCAGACTAGTTGAGCTCTGGGACTTTGATTAGATTGGAGGAATATTATTATTGCATAATGTTGCATTTGGAGAAGGGCCACCTCTGTGTATTTCAGATTAACTTCTCATGAATGTTGCTCTGTATGCCAATTATTTTCATGGTGGTAGTTAAAGGATGCTCTCTAACAACTTGTTCAAGAACTATGAGCTGCTTTCTCTACAGGGAGAATCTTCAAAGTGAAGAGTCAGCAGATTAGCTTTCTTACTGTGCATCACAATTAAGATTTTTTTTCTCAATTTAGATAATGTTGCACTCAACTAGAAATATTAATTCCTATGATATTTTTGGAGGGCAATTTGGCAGTTTTAAGTCTTTTAATTGCATGTACCTTTTGATCTAGCAATTTCACCTCTAGGAATCTACACTGAAAAACTGGTGTACCCAGATTTCCCTCAAAATGACAGTAGGGGATTAATTACGCTATAGCATTAAATGTTAACACATTTACACTATGATAAGTAGAAAAAAGCATTTTACAAAGTAATTCCATTTTCTATTGTTTGGTACAATTCCATTATAAACATTCTTTTTGCCATTCCTAATATTCTGCAGTGAATATCTTTCTTTTTCTTTTGTGGTACTGGGAATTGAATCCAGGGACACTGTTCCACTGAGCTACATCCCCAGYCCTTTTTATTTTGAGACAGGATCTTGCTGAGTTGCCCAGGCTGACCTCAACCTTGCAGTCCTCCTGTCTCAGCCTTCGGAATAGTGGGGATTATAGGTATGCACCACTATGTAAGGCTTATGCAGTGAACATCTAATGCTTTTGTAATTTTAAAAGTTATTTAAATGCTAGGTGCTGTGGTACCTACCTGTAATCCCAGTGATTTGGGAGTCTGAGGCAGGAGGCCAGCTTTGGTAACACTTAGTGAGATCCTCTCTCAGAAAACAAAAGAATGGCTGGGGCTTAGTGGTATAGTGCCACTGGGTTCAGTCCCCAATATTGCACACCCCAACTCGAAACACCCCTCTGCCTCTGCAAAAAATTTAAAGATTCAAAATATATCACTCACCTGCAATTTAAATGAAAATGGGGCAGTTATTAATCTCTACATAATAAATACAACAAGTAAGTATTTCAAAGTGATTTATGGAAAAAAAAAAMCAATCTAATCTTTGGGTTGGATAACCCTAATTGGGTCACCTTAATCTAATACCCATTTTTTTGTTATGTGAATGAGTGAATGAGTTATCCACTTTGTTTTATTTTGGTTTCAGTTTTGTCTTTTGAGGTGTTGGCAATCAAACCTAGGACCTCACACAGGCTAAGTAAGCACCACTGAACTACATCCTGAGCTCTCTCTCTTTTTTTAAAATCTTTTATTATGAAACTATTTTCTAAGCTACATATGGTGGTACATGCCTATAATCCCAGCAATTTGGGAGGCTGATCCAGGAAGATCACAGAATTAAAGCCATTTCTTGCCCACCTAGTGTGACCCTGTCTCAAAATAAAAAGGCTGGGGTTGTAGCTCAATGGTTCAACCCCTAATACCACAAACAAACAAACAATTTTTTAAAATTTTTATGTTTTTATTTAATAAATAATTAAATAAATTAAATRAATTGCTCAGAATTCAAAAAGCAAAAAAGGGGTATTAATGAGAAGACTTCTTTATTCTTGTCTTCTAGCCCTGTTGAATGCCTTTTCTCAGTAGCAGCTGTTGTTTCAGGTTCCTGGGTATCTGGCAGAGCACTCTCCTTTGCATTTGCATGTTACCTGTTCTTATCTATGGGCATGTATTTTCACGTGGTTACAAACTTTACACATTTTGTATTCTGTATTTTAAAAAATAACTTTATTTTTCTCTTTGATTTTTAGATAGACCTTAAAAAGTTATTGTGGCATTATAAACATCTTAAAAGACAATTTTAAATCTGTTTTGCTTTTCTGTTATAAAGATGCTTATTGTAGAATATCCAGACAGTCCTGAAATGTAAAAGATGAAAATTCCTATCAGTCCAAATCATTTTTTCAAACTGTATAAAGTTACCCTATATAGCTACATCTCTCTCTCCCCAGACGTAACTATTCTTGGTTTTGTGCATAAAAGATGATATTGTTCTCTAGTTTATTCTATTTAATGTAAATGCTATATGAGAAAATGCCTTTGTCTTTGAGTGAGGTTCTTTGGAAGGAGTCCAGGATGGATCTGTACACTGCCTCTTAGGAAAGAGAACCAAATACAAGATATGTGGGTTTGTGTTTTTTTTTTTTTTTTTTTTTTTTTTGGCAGAGTACCTTGTTTTACTTGCAAGTAACTATCTTACTTTGCTGCCTTATCTGATCTAAATTTGTAATCCCAAGGACAGAAATACCATTATATCTGGCACATCACCATGTATCCCTGAGGGCATCTTACATGGATTTGGTTAGTTAAGAAAGAAACCTATCTGGAAGCTAAGTCATTTTGGTGGGTCTGCAAAGGAAGGACGAAAATGCTATTTTTTTTCTTCTAGAGAACCAAATGTAAGTCTCTTGTCTTTTTTGAGAACTGACATTTCATTGCAGCACAGGCACTTTTTAAGATAGCCAGGTCATCAGGCACTGGGACTCTACCTGATGAGTCAGAATCTCTCTGGTTTTGGCCCAAACATGTGTACTTTGACAAAGTTCCCCTGGATGACATGGATGGGCACTCTGGTCAAGAATCACTGATTTAAAGGAAAGGTGACTCATGGTACCTAAACTAGATTAAATGTGAGTAGTTCACCTGCTAAAGGAGTTAACTTTTATGTTTCTTTTGTAGCATTAACAACAGTAGTGTCTTCAGTGTTCGCTTCTTCAGAACTACAGCTGTGTGCAGTAAGTACCTGCCCTGTGAATGGAGTTTTAATGGAAAGAACAAACTGAGTTTAATTAAAAAGAAAAAAAATGAACTACTTATGATTTTCTTTTTTGCTTTTTTCCTAGAGGATGATGTGATTACAGTCAACACACCAGCTTTTGCAGAATCTGTCACAGAGGGAGATGTCAGGTGGGAGAAAGGTAGGATTTAGTTTCCTCTCAARTTGAACCCTGATTGAACCCAGGGGCATTTTATGGACTTGCCCAGTCATTTAGGGCTTTGCTAAGTTGCTGAGGCAGGCCTCAAACTGGCAATTGTACTTCAGTCTCCTGAATCATAGGGATTACAGGCATGTGCCACCATGCTAAGCATCAACTTCTTAAGTTTTAATAAAGTCTCCACTTCCCCTATGATAGTCAGTGGTACCTTTCCCACATATATACCTGTTCCCTTGTAACACATTTACCAAAAGGGGTTTTGTGGCTTCTGGAGGTCCCCCTCTAATAAATAGCTTTTGCTTGGGTTTTCAGCTGTTGGAGACACAGTTGCAGAAGATGAAGTGGTTTGTGAGATTGAAACTGACAAGGTGGGTTTGTCTTTTATTAGTGACAAATTTTCATGATCAACCCTTGGTTTCTCACTCTAAGAAGAAGCAGGATTAAGCAGCAGTGTTTTTTAAAGATAATTTTTAACTAGCTCTAACCTTAGTTGTAAAAGTGTTTGAGTAACTCTTTAAAAAGAAGCAATTTATTAAAGTTTTAATTTTAGATTGTTCTGTAGGTATGAACTATGTAACTTTCTAACTTTTAACCTGGTAGCTTTTTCTTTTTTTCCTTTGTGGTGCATGAGTGTTTCCACTTGTTTGTCCACATGTCTCTTGGAAACACATTAACTGAATTTTACTTTAATGTTTCCAAGAACTGGTGAATCTTGAATCTTGCTACAAGACTGTAGCAATGACTTGTCTTTGCTCCCACTCTGAAAGTGTGACTTCAGGTGTTTTGCAGGGCCTTGTTTAACCGTGTTGCAACTCTTGTAACTCATGTTGGAGATTCTGTGTAATTAATTGGCTAATGCTGTGTAAAAATGTCAGCCCTTTCTCCGTCTTTCTTCTTTTTCCAGACATCTGTGCAGGTTCCATCACCAGCAAATGGCGTAATTGAARCTCTTTTGGTACCTGATGGGGGAAAAGTTGAAGGAGGCACTCCTCTTTTCACACTCAGGAAAACTGGTGGTAAAGAAGTTCTCCTGGTGGTCAAGGTCTCCAGTGTTCCCCCTTGGGATTGGGGCTGAGCATACTGTACTAATAATTCTCCGAAACCTCAAAGACTCTTGCATTACAGTTGCCCTTAGTTGAGGGAAAAGAAAGAACAATATTTTTATTTATATAGAGGGAATTTTAAAAGAAAAGGGTCATTTAGGGTTGGGTTGTAGCTCAGCGGTAGAGCACTTGCCTAGCATGTATGTTGCACTGGGTTCGGATCCTCAGCACCACATGAAAGTAAATAAACAAAATAAAGGTGGTATTTCCATCTACAACTAAAGTAATAAAAGAAACGGGTAGTTTAAAAGGGGGGGTAGTTAATTTTTTAAAGAATAAACCTCATAGTTCTCTGTTCTTTCCATGGATTTTTCTATTTTTATTTATTTATTTATTTATTTATTTATTTATTTTGGTGGTGCTGAGGATTGAACCCAGGGCCTTGTGCATGCGAGGCAAGCACTCTACCAACTGAGCTATATCCCCAGCCCTCCATGGGTGTTTTTTATACTGGACCTTTTCTTAAAGATTTAATAGAAAATGAAGAGGATATCTAAAGATAGTGATTCCCTTTTCCAACCCTGGCATCAGAATCACATGCATCATATGATCTGATAGATCACAATCTTTCATAGGTAGATTGGGGATTGAACCCTTTCCCATGCTAGGCAAGCACTCTACCACTGAGCTACATCCTCAGCCATAGTTGGGTTATGGTTTTTTTTGTTGTTTTTTTTTTTTTTGATGGACCTTTATTTTATTCATTTATTTATATGTGGTGCTGAGAATTGAACCCAGTGCCTCACACATGTGAGGCAAGTGCTCTACCACTGAGCCATAATCCCAGCCCTGGGTTATGTTTTTAATGCTTCTCAGGTGATATTGATACAAGCTAGGACTGAGAACCAGTATGCTAGAGGACAAAGAATTATTTCATGGGACTATTATGAAGCAAAGTTGTCATCTTTTGTTTGTTTGTTTGGTGGTCCTAGGGATAGAACCCAGGGCCTCATGCCTGCTTAGCAGGCATTCTGCCACTGACCTACATCCCCAGTCCTTTTTTTTTTTTAATGTTTTTATTTTTTGGTTATCGGTGGACACAACATCTTTGTTTGTATGTGGTGCTGAGGATCGAACCTGGGCTCCACGCATGCCAGGCGAGCACGCTACCGCTTGAGCCACATCCCCAGCCTTTCCCCAGTCCTTTTTAAAACAATTTTTATTTTGAGACAAAGTCTCACTTGTTACTTCGGCTGGCCTTGATCTGCCTGCCTCAGCCTCTCCAATATCTGGGATTACAGGCTCCCCGGCCTCCATTTCATGTAGTTTCTTTTCACATTTTTCTTTCATAACATCTCTAAGAAGGGTTATATTTCTCTTGGGAAGAAATGAGAAAGAAAAGAATCTCTATTGAACCTCATGATCAGTATTAGAGATTAGAAAATATCTGTTTTTTTTTTTTTGACTCTTAAATGCTGTAACTACTAAGGTCTGTTTCTTTTTAATTGTTAAAATAGTCAAGTAGAGAGAAGACCAGACGCTCACACTGGGGAGAAAATCTCTAGTATAGGCTAGGAAGCAAGAATGAATCTTCCAGATTCCAAGATTCAATGAATTTGAAGTTCATCTTCTAATCATTCATTTTTTTACTATCAAAAGAAAGTTGTAATTTAAATATAAAACTGGATATAATATCCAGATGGGTAAAAATTGAAATAACCATCTAATTTAAAGTTGTAAATTTAGTATTTTACCACCTCATTGATTTTTGATAGTCATCCTGGAAGAAATACTTTGAACTCTTAAGCTTAAATGAGTCCTTGATTAAACATTTATTTATTTATTTATTTGGTTAAGAATAGTCTTCTACATGTGAAGTTGAAATAGAAGATGAGTATCCATACTATTATAATTAGAAATATGTCTATGTGTGTGTGTGTTTTTTTTAAAGAGAGAGAGAGAGAGAGAATTTTTTAATATTTTTCAGTTTTTGGTGGATACAGCATCTTTATTTTATTTTTATGTGGCGCTGAGGATTGAACCCAGCGCCCCGTGCATGCCAGGCGAGCGCATTACCACTTGAGCCACATCCCCAGCCCTATGTGTGTGTTTTAATGTTTTAAATTGCCTAGGTTTTTTTTGCTTGGAAGTTTTCATTTCCTTGGGTTCAGAGTAGATGCTTTGGAAGTACATGCAGAATTTCATGATCTGTAGATATTTGTGAAATCTGGAAAGTCAGTTATCTGAATTGAGGCAGTTATCTGATATAGGACATTTAAGGACTCTGGGGAATAGAGATTAATGCCTTATGTCATTGTGCATGTCTGATAGGGTCTTGAATATAGCAAATACCCAGTAGACATTTGTTAATGGATTGGAGATAGGGCTTTTGCCATTGAATTCTGCTTGGTTTCTGTGATTTGGTTGCTTTCCATTCCAGTCAGTGTCAATAGCAATTTTTTTTTTTTTCTTGTTTTCTAGCTGCTCCTGCTAAGGCCAAGCCAGCTGAAGCTCCTGCCACAGCCCCCAAAGCAGAGCCTGCAACATCAGCTCCTCCTCCTCCTCCTGCAGCACCCATACCCACTCAGATGCCACCAGTGCCCTCACCTTCACAACCTCCTTCTAGCAAACCAGGTAAGCCTCTAACTCCCATGTGTCATTCTGTGAAAGAAGAATACTTTGTTTATTACCATGTCCCCTCACGAACGAAGTATAGTATGAGACCAGCTGTGGCTCTGRAAAGGCCAGGTTGGCTGCTTTATAGAAAGATCTCTAGATTTTATGTATGAAGACGTAGGGTTGCATCCCAGCTTTCTGTTCACTGTAACTTTAGGCCAGTTACTTAACTTTTCTGAGCAGATTGTTCATATGTGGAGTGGGAATTATACTAATACACCTCAGAATATTTCAAGTGAAAATACAGTATGAAAGCACTGGCATGTGCTCAGTAAATATTTCTGTCTCTTAATCAGCTGTACCCTTTCATTTCATTTTCAGTGTCTGCAATAAAACCCACTGCTGCCCCGCCACTAGCTGAGCCAGGATCTGGCAAAGGTGTGCGTTCAGAACATCGGGTAAGCATCTGAGAACTGCTGCATTTGCATGTTACCTGTTAGTTGATTAATGGAGTTTGGGTATGATGGTGCCCACCTTGAATGGCTAGCAATTTATTCTCTTGGCCTTGAAAAGGCAGARTATAGGAAGTGGCTTGTTTGTGGTCACATAACCATTAAATGATAGAACTCTAGAACCTGAGATTTTCTGCATACTTATCCAGTAGTTTTTCACTGTTATGCTATCAGTGAAATGCTTTAGGTGTAAAATATTTGCAAGGAATAGTACCTTCCATAATGATACAGATACTTCACACAGATGATGTAGTGGGAGTTCTATTCTTATACTTCCAGGATACTTAACTGTAGCTAAGGGATATACTACATAGTAACAACAGCTGTCTGGGCAGACATAAACCTCAAGGAAGTTTTGTCAAGAGTGTGGGTTCCTCTGCTTGAGAATACTTCCTAAAAATATTATAGCTTCAAAAGTATGTTGCTCATGAGTTTCCGCTCCACAAGTAGCTACTCTCATGCAAGCCTCTATCAACAGAAATCTCCATTCTGTAATGATTCTTAGGCTGTCTAGACCTATACCACATTCTTCCTTTTCATAAATTGGTTTTGGTTTTTAAATCACACCATTTCCTGGACCTCTGTTCTTGGTCAACCATCAGGCACATCTGAGGTAGTACTTTTGGCCCAGGTTTTGTTGCTTTTGCTCAGATGAAGAAGACCACCACAGGAAAGGGGAAGCCTAGAACTCTGGATATATATGTACTTATTTATTTGTTTATTTTTCCTCTTTCCACATTTTTTTATTGGTGCCTTATAGTTGTACATAATGATAGGATTTATTGTTACTATTTGTGCGTGTACACGATATAACAATATAATTTGGCCTATATCATTCCCCAGCACATCCCTCCTCCCCTGGTTATATTTAAATACTCTAGTCCTTGTCTTCTACTCTTGGCAAGCTCTTGAGTTCTCTCTCTGCCTACATGGGGAATACTTGATCCAGAGAGATCAGATTGTCAATTCTTGTTCACTTTTGCTTTCAGGAAAAAATGAACAGGATGCGGCAGCGCATTGCTCAGCGTCTGAAGGAGGCCCAGAATACGTGTGCAATGCTGACTACTTTCAATGAGATTGACATGAGGTGGGATGTCTAGACCCTCTATCTCCCCATGTCTTGATCTTGCCCCAGTGAGAGACTATCTAGTGCTGTTCCCAAAACTAACTTGATGGGCAAGAAGTACTTCTTTGCTTTGCTTGTAGTTTACTTACACAGGGAAATTTACCAGTTTCATCCTCTAAATGACTTTCCTAATATTATGTTTGTTTCCTCTAAGACTTAAAAAACTTAGCCTTTTAGACTTTTATACCTGAATCTTGTGAATTCTGGTAAATGAGGCTATTAATAGTCTTAAATTCTGATGACTAGGGTTAGATTGCCAGAGATGAGCAGCCAGGCAAACAGGGCTTGTTCCCAGGACTATCCTTTGGATAGAGAGCCTTCATCATCACGCCAGAGCAGGGGCAACACACCTTGCTTCTTTCCCACAATGACTGCTTCTTTGTACATGTTCTTGAGCAGTTTAGAATCAGACCAGCCAAAAGGCAGAGGCTTGTCATCTCTCTTGCTTTCCCAGCTTTGAGAGTGAAATGGAAAGCAGTTTGTTTTAAAATAAAAACCTCAGAAGAGTAAAAGGAACTAATTCATCCTACACATTTCTATAGTGAGTTAATTCTTGATCCACCTGTTTTCTTCAAGATTTTGATGTGTGCAGCCAGGCATGTGGTACATATTTGTAATCCTAGTTACTTGGGATTATAGCCTGGGCAACTTAATGAGATCCTGTGTCAAAAAATTAAAAGGATGGCTGGCATAGTGAAGCATGCCTGTAATCCCAGCTACTTAGGAGGCTGAGACAGGATTGTATTTTGAGGCCAGCCTCAGCAGAGACCCTGTCTTGACAAGACCCTGTCTCAAAAAATAAAAAGGGTTAGGGATGTAGCTCGTTGATAGAGGACCCCTGGGTTCAATTCCCAGTACCACAAAATAATAATAATAATAATAATAATAATAATAATAATGCATACAAGTATCAGCACAGTAGGGAAGAGAAAGCAGTTAAATTTAACAAACATTTTCAGTGCCTACTGTATACAAGGAACTAAAGTATGGAATTTAGGGGGTATAATATAAAAATGAGTGAAAAAGAAGCCCTGAATCCCTGTAGCTTATTGTTTGGTTTGGATAAACACAAAGTAAAATCTAGAAAGAAGTGTCAGAAGGATAAAAATAAGGATGAATAGAGAAAGGAGTAAACTCATTTGTTTTGGAAGTTGGGAGTAGAAGTTGCAAAGGTAAGATCAGGGCAGGTTTCCTGGGGAAGTTTTAACAGGCCTTCAGGAATGACTAGTATTTTGACAAGCAGCATTGTTGTTCCAGACAGTGTTAACGAAGGTATRTATCATGACAACAGTCATGAAAGTACAAGAAATAGTTAGATCATTTCTGCCCTGAGGAATRTGTATGGGAAAGAATGGTAAAGAAGGTTGGTTTTGAAGGCCAAGAAAGAAATTTATATTAAATCAGGAGGTGTATTAGCAAGTCTTCAGGGAATCTCCTTGCTTCCTTTTGTCCTGAGTGTTAAGTTTGCTCATCTGCTTTTCATTAGGGAAATTTGTTTTCCTTTGGATGAGTTCTGAAAAATAGGAGGGAGTGGTTTATTGACAGTATGTTAGGGCTTTGTTAACCAGATAAGGCTCTGTGGCTAATTGTACTAGAAATCTCCATTCTATTGGGAAGCTTCCTAAAGAGACTGGATGTCATTATAGTCAAAGATTTCTTGTTCATAATGTGTAGGGAAGGACCTTGCCTAATGAATCACAAAGGTTGTAGCTTATGTTTCAGTGCATTAGGTCCAAATTGTACACAAATTGAATGAAACTTTGAAATTCTATCCACTTTCTTAAGACAAAACATGTAAATATTGTGGTCTTGAAAGATACAGTTGTTCCAACAGCCTTAATTGAAAAGTAAGTATAAGAGTTGGATCTCCTTTCAGTGGCTAATTGAGGTATCCCTTAACAATGGCTTGGAGTCTCACTGCAGCCAGTAATCTCGTTTAGATTGAGTGCCCTTTGGATATTGTGCCCATCAGCTAACCCATAAGGGGCCTTTCTGAGACTCCTCCTTTTCCCTGTTGTCCCAGCTCTGCCTCCAAGGACAGAGTTCTGAAATAGAAACTACTTAATGACCAGACAATGGCATTCCTGCAGGTTTGAGAGCAGAGATGTTTATCACTACTCTTACCCTCTTCTGTAGCCCTTGTGTCTTGGGATCCAATAATGTCTTTAGGGTGGTAATCCTAGCACTAAATAAGGTTAGACTCAGGAAAACAAACATTTTAAACCCAATCAGGCCGCCTAAAAAAATTTCCTTTTTCAAAAACAAAAGGTCTGAAGGGGGTATTTTGAAGTTGTATCACATCTTAGCTTTCATGGTAATGTCAAATTAGGCCATTATCGGGGGAAAGGGAGAACCAAGCATTTGGACCCGAGATGAAGTTAAATTCAATTTCCGTTGTGAATAGCTATTCCGATAAATACAGAAGTTTCTGAGGCAAAATGATGGTAAAGCCATTTATTTCTCACTCTGCACCATGTATGTGAAAAAAACTGGCCCTGACAGACCAAAGGCTGATCATGTTGCAGAAGCCTCTCAGAAGCAAGGTCCTGCTGCTGAAACTGAAGGTAGCAGGTCTCTCTCTACATAGGGCCACTTTTCTAAATATCGAGGAAACCACATTCATTAAACTAATCTTAAGGGCAAGCAGTTTGTCTTTTCTTTGTATCCAGGTGCCTAGCTCTGACTCTCACATATGCTGCATGTTAGTACCTGTTCTAAGGAATAAGTGGAAGGAATTGCTAACTCTGAGAAGATGAAGGACTTCCCAGGAGCCTGAAAGAGCACTAGGTTTACCCTTCCTTGATAATCATGACTGCTTTTGTTCACATGAAACCCATAAGCCTGTGGGTGGTTTTGTCATTTTGATTTTTGTGATACTAGGGATTGAACCCAGGGCCCTTTACCACTGATCTATATCCCTAGCCCTTTTTATTTTTTATTTTGAGATGGTCTTGCTAAGCTGCATGGGCTTTCCCTGAACTTGAGATCCTCCTGCCTCAGCTTCCCAAGTTGCTGGGATTATAGACATGTACCACTGCTGCTGGCTTATTTTTCTCTGATAATCAGATAAGAGAATGTCCCAAAGAAGCTAAAATATGATTTGGTGGTGGTTGAAAATAATTCTGACAAATGAAAAGAATATTTCTAGACTTTGCTTATACTTTAAAACATCTCCCTCCCCCCCCCCCCCCCCCCCCCCCCCCCCCCCCCCCCCCCCCCCCCCCCCCCCCCCCGGCCCCCACACACACCCAAGGTGGATATCTCACTATTTTAGTTAGAAATACTTTTCTCATTCAGGGCAAGGATGTTGTGCTATGTTATGTCTCATTCATATTCTCTGTTACTGAAATCTGTGACTTTGAGGACATAAAGAAGCCCTGTAAAGACTCAACCCACCTTAAAGACACATTGCCCGGATTCCTTTCTATCCAGTTGTTATGAAAGAACAAGGTGTTGACTTCTAGTAAACTATTTCAAAACTTAAACATGGCGGATTGGGGTTGTGTCTCTGTTGGCAAGTGCTAGCCTAGCATCTTTGAGGTGCAGAGTTTGATCCTTAACAGCACATTAAAAAAAAAAAAAAAAAAACTTAAACATAGATGGTCCAGAGTAAGGGAAAGGCTTGCCTATTTGTGTACTTGAGTGGAAACATGTTTGAATATCAAAATCAAGGCTTCATTTGTGTTTTCTTTTGTAATATGTTTTTACAGTAACATCCAGGATATGAGAGCTCGGCACAAAGATGCTTTCCTGAAGAAACATAATCTCAAACTAGGCTTCATGTCAGCATTTGTGAAGGCCTCAGCCTTTGCCTTGCAGGAGCAGCCTGTTGTAAATGCAGGTGAGTTTCTGGTGGCCAATATTGCAAAGGTCTTAGAAGGTAGGTATATATACAGACCTGCTCCCACATTTAGTAGACCAAGGCTTTTATTTCATAACTTGACCATCTTCCTCAGAGATTTCTTTTCTTCTTTTTTTTTAAGTACTGAGGATTGAACTCAGGGGCATTCGACCACTGAGCCACATCCCCAGCCCTATTTATTTAGAGACAGGATSTCACTGAGTTGCATAGTACCTCGCTGTTGCTGAGGCTGGCTTTGAACTCACGATCCTCCTGCCTCAGCCTCCTGAGCTGCTGGAATTATAGTCGTATGCCATGTGTCTGGCTGATTTTTTTTTTTATGTACTTTTCTGAAAGGCCAGAACAGTTTCTCTTCCTGATGCATAGCTTGGCATTTGCTCTGGTAGCAGGCAGCTGTGGGGCAGCCCAGCTCTCTTTGGTGCCTCCTGTCAGGATAGGAGCTCATATTCTGGCTGCCCACCCCTAATCCCCGTGGGCTCTGTTTTCTTGGAGCCTGGCCTCCACACTTGACATAGTCCTCCAGGTTGACCTCTGATCTCAGGTTGATGGGCCTCACTGGGAAGCTCACTTTCATGGACTTGGTACTTGTTTTCTTTCAACTTTTTATTCACCCACGTCATTGAAGTGTTGACCTAACAAGCAGTTCTCTTCTTCCTATTAAAACATTTCTCTATCCCCTGGAAGACTGGAGWGCAAGCAGTGATATTTTTGCAATCCTCAGCAAAAGATCTAGAAATTGGAGCCTAGTCACTTCCATAGAGTGCTGTGCTCTAGGTAGATAGGAGAGTGGACTTTGTCCCCAATGTGTTCCTCATTTTGTTTCTTCCATTCTTATGCTTTCCTGACTGGCATTCTCCCTTTCCCTACCCCCCTCTTTTATGCCTTCCCATGCTCATAGGCATCTTTCAGAGTTCTTTTGGCTGGGCTGTAGCTGTAGCTCAGTTGTGGTATGCTGGTCTAGCATGTGTGAGGCACTGGGTTCTATCCTCAGCACCACATAAAAATAAATAAAATAAAGGTATTATGTCCATGTACAACTAAAAAATATTTTTTAAAAAAGTTCTCTGACTTTTTTTTTACTTTACATGCTTTTCTTCAGTACCTTATATAAAGTACAACATAGACTTATTATCTGTGGAGAAGGTTCCCAAGCCTTTGTTTTCTTATGCGTGCTAGACGTAAATTCTCAGCTACTGGTTTGCTGTCTCAAGTTGGCATATTTAAAAGCCAGACCACTAGTTCCCCCTCCATTTCCTAAAGAGAAGCTTCCTTCTTCCCCTTGTTGAAAGCAGAATGGGCAGCGTGCCTGTGCCCCTTCTTCTTTGCTGAGTGGCCTTTTTTTTGTTAACACTAGCCATCCCGTGCTAAGGGAGGGCTTAAGAGGGGTAGTAACAAGAACTTGATGCTCTCTAATCCCATGTGAGCCTGTGTATTGAGCACTTCTGAGGGCTGCCACAGAATGTATGCTCAGTTAGGGAACTTGGGAAATATTATCATTGCTTGGGATAGGAGTAAGTAGTGTGCCAGTTRCCATTTGTAATGTAATTATTTTTACGCTGATTGGTCAGCCCACACTGTATCAAGAACTGCAGATTTTTATTCTGTTAATAGAAATATTAGCTTATTAGCCTTGGCCTAGGGAGTTATATGTAACATTTTTTTTTTCTCTCTCTCTCATAGTGATTGATGATGCAACCAAAGAGGTGGTTTATAGGGATTATATTGACATCAGTGTTGCGGTGGCCACGCCTCGGGTATGTTGGGGCAGGAGGTGGGGAATGGAGGTATTAAGTAACCTTTTTTTTTTTTTTTAAACCATRCCATGTTCTTTTAATGTCGGACTTAAATATCTTAGACTTTTAATCATTGCAAGTAATAAAAGTATCCTGGGTAGGGGACTTGTAACTAGAAAGGGTACTGTTAATTTGCAACTGAAAATGTTTTTTCATTCTTTTCAGGGCCTGGTGGTTCCTGTCATCAGGAATGTGGAAACTATGAATTATGCAGATATAGAACGAACCATTAGTGAACTGGGAGAGAAGGTAAGGTAGAAAGAAGTGTGCATGAGAGCTGCTGGGCAGGTGAGGGAAGAGCCAGCTGGCAGAGCTCCAGGAGCTGGAGCCTCACTTTATTCCCTAAGAAATACATAGCCACTGAGGAAAGTAGTGCCCTAGAAGATTAAGCATAGCATGCTTAGTTGACTGAAATCTCATGAAGTGAGACCTGCTGGGGGAAGAAAAGGTCAATTCTATGCAATCATGCCTTTTTTTTGAGCACTAACACAGTCTTTTCTTCAAGAAAAGACTAAGCAATTGTCATGCTGAAGGTGGAGCGTGTAGTACTGATCTCAGATATGAGCTTACTTACTTTAGATATGGACTTACTTTCTTTAGGTGAAGGAACCTGTATTTGTTTAATGTTTCAATTGTGAACTCTCTGTTTTTAGGCCCGAAAGAATGAACTTGCCATTGAAGATATGGATGGTGGTACTTTCACCATTAGTAACGGAGGCGTTTTTGGCTCGCTCTTTGGAACACCCATTATCAATCCCCCTCAGTCTGCCATCCTGGGCATGCACGCCATCTTTGACAGGCCAGTGGCTGTGGGAGGCAAGGTAGGAACTATTGCTTATAAGGTCCTACCTAATAGCTGGGTGATGATGAGAGTGCAGTCCAATTAAAGGCTTATTATAGAGCATTCACTATAATTTTAGACCTAAGTTTCATTTCTTAGTTTATAATTAACAGCTAAGGCACTCACTATCAAATTGTGGTCTATGGATCAGCGTCATCTGGGAACTTGTTAGAAATGCAGATTCTTAATTCCATCTCAGCATATGTGAGAACCATTGAGGAGACTTGCCTTCCTCTAGGATCAATTAAAATGTTTCATTGTTTAGGTGCTATAGAGAGTGGGGGATAGAGTTGCAGTCATGGACCTTGTCCCTGGGAAACAGAAGACAAGAATGCACAAGAATTTAGGAGCTTTGAAGTTGTCTGATAAGGCTTGGAAATTTTCTAAGGCCTTAGATGATAAAGGGGCTTCAGCTAGCCCTTAAAAGATATATTGATAGGAAAAAAAACTTTCTCAGACTCCTGGGTTTAGAATCTTTTGGGATCATTACTCCCTTTGTGAATTGAAAAGCCATGGATCTTCTGCCTGGAAAGTGGTCACCCAACTTTGCATAGTGTCAAGAGAATTTGTGCACCCCAGGTTAAATATATTTTCTTTTAAATTGTAACTATGGGCTGGGGCTGTGGGTCAGTGGTAGAGCACTTGCCTAGCAGGTTTGAGGCCCTGGGTTCAATCCCTAGAACTTCAGAGGGGAGGGGTGGAGGATGTGTAATTGCAATGCTTCAGGCAGCCCAAACAGAGGAGGAAGGCTTTCTGTAGACAGCAGATGAGTTGGAGGGTGGACAAGGCAGATTATGTTGTGTTGTTTTATTTTAAGGGCAGTTGTGTGACTATTTTCTCTTTGTTTATTCTTTGTTTCTAAGTAGAGGAGCTTTGCACTAAAGGTAAAGATTGGCCTTTGAAAATATGATAAGTATGCAGTGGCCACATTAATAGGAAAGCCTCTGGAACTAAGAGCTTGCCTGAGGGCTGCACTTTCCCATCTCCCTCCCTCTGCAGAGCTTTCTCTGACCTATTGGTGACAGACCTGTTGACCTTTCCCCTCTACAGGTGGAGGTGCGGCCTATGATGTTTGTGGCCCTGACCTATGACCATCGGCTGATTGATGGCAGAGAGGCTGTGACTTTTCTCCGCAAAATCAAGGCAGCAGTAGAGGATCCCAGAGTTCTCCTCCTGGACCTTTAAGAGAAAGCTCCACACCCTACAAATCGACCATGCAGGAACTTAAAACCAGTCTTCTCCTTGTCCCCTCATGGGTCCCAGGTTAGCCTGTGACAGGCAGGTATTTGCTGTTGGCCTCAAGCAAGGAAGCCAGGGTACTATGTAACCAGCAGTTGCAGGTCTTCTCTTRGTGTTCCTGCCAGGCTCTCTCCCTCTGAATCTTTCTCTGGCCTTTGAATATCTTATTTCCTTAGGCTTAAGAGAAAGAGAGAGAGTGAGAGAGCCTTAATGGATGCTCATTAATATTCCTGCCTTTCTTCCATTTAGCCTCTGCACAGATAATTTTTGCTTCTCCCCATTGCCAGTATATTATAGGGAAACCACTGGGACCATGTGATTAAATTTTCATCTTTGGAAAATCTATTCTCCAGAAATGCCTAGGGGGGGTGCTTTGCCTCCCAGGCTCAGAGCAGCCTCTGTCCCAGCTGTGCACATTCTCACTTGATGCCATCTGTATGGAGGTATTGAACACAGGCAAAGAGGTGCTGTTTTGCTTCTTAAATGGCACCGTCATTCTCAGATGTCAGTGACTTCAAGATGCCTCTTCTACCTCTTCCAGGAAACACAGGCCAGGGGATCTGGATGTGGGGGGAGAGGGCAGAGTACCCCCCTGAGGCAACATGTTGTAAATGTCAGTGAGAGCAGAACTCAGGCCTGCCCTCACACTCGCAGTCATAGATTCATGCCAATAAGACCCACTTTGGCATAATCACAGTTGTGGTTGTGCCAATCCTTTCCAGGATGCTAGGAACCATCTAGCACATTGTCCTCATTTAGAGCAGATTCTAGCACATCATGGCAGTGGGACAGAGCCTGGTCACAGTGAAGACTGGAACCTGGGGAGAGGAGGTGTCTTCTGACTTGTTCACATTGACTCAAGCTTTTAGATTCAAGTTGGACTGAGGATGCTRTCCTCTTCCTTCTCACGTTGTGGCCCATAGAGAGCCAGGCCTTGGCTCTTGCCCTATAGGACACAGATCTAGGGGAAGATGGACTGTGGTGGGACCCAGCCTCCAGATATTAGTACATAGTGATGAAGTGACTGGTATTATCTCTAAGGTACTGCCCTTTGAGTCTGGGCACAATCATTGGAATTCCTTTGGAGCATGGTTAAATGCAAGTATCTTGTGAAAGCTACTGTGCTGTATGGTTTTGTATCCAACTGCATCCATGCCTGAGACTGCTGGCACTTGACACCGGGGCCATTAGTTAGTGCAGAGTGCCCTTTTTTATCTTGAGCCAAGAAGCAAGGCCGGGGTTGGGGGTGGGGGGAGGGGCCGGTACTGAGTGCCTGCAGCATCTGCTACTCTGTCTTTACCATTCAGAACTTGTAACTAAAGTATTTAAAGAAACTGATTTTGAATGAAAATTAAAGGACACATGTTCTCAAACAGGGTTCCTGCATCTGTGCTCCTTTTGGTTACTGAGGTGTTGTAAGTCTTCAGCACTGACAGTTGTACTAATTAATGGTTGTCATTAGCACTGGTCTCATGATGTCCCATGCTTCTGACTTAAGTTAAACTGTACTAATATGACAGAAGGTGGAAGTCCGCCAGCCAGGGAAGCACACTAGTCTCCTTGTGCCCCAGCTTGCTTCTAGGGAACCTTATAAGCCTGGCTAGCTGGACTCTTATTTTTTTTTTTTTAATTTAAAAAAATTTTTTTTAGTTGTAAATATATATACAGTACTTTTTTTTTTTTTTTTAAGTGGCGCTGAGTATGGAATCCAGTGCTTCATACATGCCAGGCGAGTACTCTGCCGCTGAGCTACAACCCCAGCCCCATGGCTAGCTGGACTCTTGACAAGAAATTACAGTTTTCACCTTTGTGATCCCCCTTCAAGGTACCAGGGGACAGCTGCACTTTGGGGGGCTGTATTATTTCTTGGATGGATTGTGGCAGTATCTCTTATAGTTTTACTTGGACTTGTCTCATGTACCAAGATGCATGAGGTCAGTATAAGCAAATGAGGGGAAGTTTCCACAGAGCAGGGGCCTTGAGGGTCAGTGAAAAGAGCTGATAAYTATGCTAGACTGACTGGTGACTGGCATCATTGAGTCCATGCTTAAACAGCTTTATCTTTCCACACAAAGTCCTTGTCTGCTGATCCTGCCTATAGTGAGGCCAGCAGTCTGTAGAGGTCTGTTGCAGGAAGGAAGTAGGTCCTAGAGGGCAGAACTAGAGCTGGTGGGTAGGAAAATGGTTCAGTGAAAGGGAGAGCTAGAATTATGTRTCAAGTCCAGGGCTTGGTGCCAGAAGCTTTATTAATTTTCTAGTAAACCAAAGCCCATTTTTTTTGGAGAGATCAACCTCAAGCCTTATTAGTACTGGGACTATAGTATTCTAAACTGAGGGCCTAACAGTGCCAAGTGTGTAGTGTGTGCTGGCAGGAAGGGACCCTTCAGAAGTGACCTGCACTTTAGGAAGCAGTGGATCAAGTAGTTTGGCCTGACTGGGGAGTGGGGCAGAAGGAACAGTAACTCTGAGGTCCTGCTGCTATAGAGTCAATGTTCTTGGAGTCTCAGTTTTCTCAGGAGCTACCATCTCCTGAGGGGTCACTGAAGATTAAACTAGTCCCCCCTCACCTGCCAGGTACCATGACCCTCTTTCAAGGCTTCTCTTCCTCTCTTATTTCCCACAGAGCCCAGTGCCCCTTACACTGCCACTTCCACTTCCACTGAGACCTGAGGCAGCTTCTCCTAGCAGGACCCAAGCTCATTCTTGAGCTTTRCAGTCTGCCCCTTCTAGCAGGTATTTTGACTACATTAATGATGCAAAGACACAGTAGGAAAAGCAGGCTTTATTAGGGGTGGGCAAATGCCTGGGCATGAGCCATAGATAATCATACACAGGCTTTGCTTTTCCCCATCCTCTTCCCAGAGTCTTCCTGAGAAGCTGGGGAGCCTTGGACCTCCCCAGGACACCAAGTCTGGCCTGAGAGAGAGTTGGTCCTCCAGAGATGCCACCTGGTGGTAGTGGAGACACTGACAGGAAGGAGCTGAGGGCATAGGTTTAGTGGAAGTTGGTGGGGTGTGAGAAGGACCTTCATACCTGGGCTCTTTTGAGGTGCCCACTTACCCCAGTTCTTCAGAGACTAGAAACATTTTGCTTCTGGCTAAAAGTGAGATTTAATAATGTGTTTCATGGTTTCTTATTCCAAACAGAAATGAAGTCACAGTGGGCAGTGAATTGAGTAGAACCTCAACCAAAATGCAGTATGGTAAATAGATCCAGTGCCTGAGAAGGGAATCCTCATAGGCACACCTGTCTTAGCTATTTCAGCCCCTTTTGGAACCTGGRAAGGGTTCCCCTACTAGGTGGGCCAGCTGGCAGCTGGAGAAGAAAGTTTTTGTTTTGTTTGTTGTTGTTGTACTAGGGATTGAACCCAGCGAGTGCTTTACAAAATACTGAGCCACATCTCAAGCCTCTTCACCCTACCCCCACACACTGCTTTTTTTGAGACGGTGTTGGCCAGGCTGGCCTTGAACTATAATCCTCCTGCCTCAGGTTCCTGAGTCACTCGAATGATAGGTACATGCCACTATGCCCAGCTAAAAAAAGCTCTTTATTGTTTTCAAATTTGATATAAGTGGCAAACTGTGTCACCTGTTCCCATCCCATTTTGCCTTATCTTCTTAGTTTCTCCCCTCCCTTTGCTCTCCCAAGTCTGAAATCATCAGATAAGGGTCCTGGACAGGAGTGAAGAGTGGATCATCCAGTTCTGCAACTTCTCCCCTGCTTCCCACTCTCCCTACCCCTATGGGAATAGCTTCTGATGGGAGCAACAAGTAGCTGCTTGCTGTATGACTAAGAAGACAGCCAGGGAGGGCCCTGGTTTGGGTCTACCAAGCAGCCAGTGGATCTGTATCCTGGGAGGAGTCTCCAGAGATGTCCCAAGTCAGGCACAACATGGTAGTGAAGGAGTATATCACAAAATCTCCTGTGGGCTCAGCAGGTGGTCCATAGTTCAAAGCCAGTACCACAGAAGGTGCCCTTTAAGGTGGTAGGTCCATGTTAGAGTATAGGGTGTACTCAACATGTGCCTGCTGGCTGATGGGTGGAAGGCTGGTCAAGCTGCTTATTAGCAGGGGAAGCCTTGCTGCCCCTCTGCTGCTTCTTCAGGGGCTGGCCCTTTTGGGGCAGTGGTGATAATTGTTCCTGAGGCCCATGTAGGGAGCTGGGCARGAAAGACAGCTACCCCACATTCTGCAGCCCACTGATTAGAGGGGCCAGCTCTGACAGGCAGGCAGGACATCCAGACCTGGCCAGCTGCTTCCACCACCCACTTCACCCCATTACCCCACCAGTCTACTCCACTGGATAGTACTGAAAAAAGGGTGGGACTTGAGTTTGCTGATTCCACCTCCTGCAGCACCCAGGCGCCGTGTGGGATCGAACTGTAGCAGCTGCTGGGAGAGGCCAGAGGTCAGTACTCTGACAGGCCTTCCCCGCCCCCACTACTGAGGCAGGGGCCCACCCCTAAGGTCTCACTCACCAGGGCCCTAGGTGGCTCATTCCCTGCTAGCCCTGCCTGTAAACCCTGTTTTCCCCAGAGGGAATGRGCAGTCATTGGTGGCAGTTAGTCACCAATGTATAAGATTTCTATGCATTGCCCTTCYGTACCCACACAACACACATGTGTCACACTTAGTTGTGGGATGCTGTGCCACCAGTCTTTAACCATAGGCCAAGAACCCACCCACCTCTAGGTTGGGCTGCACCTCACCTCAGTCAGCAGGGAGGCTGCTGAGGGACTGAGCCACTCAGGCAGATGGAGCTGGGTATGAGCCTGGAATCCTGAGGGGTGGCTCTGTGACAGTGCCTGGAAGGACAAAAGGAGACAGCCCCAGGAAAGTCTACACTCCAGTGGCAGCCAGGAACCCACCCCCACCCTCATGTCACATTCCATAGGGATGATGATAATGATGACATTGAGAGTTGCCTTTTGCTCAGGATCTACTAGGTGCCAGACCCTGTTCTGGATCCCTGACATACCTTATCATTAAAGACAAGAAGCAGGCTCACAGGAAAAGGGACTTGTGCTGAGTTCAGAGTTGAACCCAGGTCCCTCTGGCTGCAAGCTTGCTACAAGTACCCATCTCGGGTGGCAATCRGGATAGGCATACTATTATGAATGGGTCTGGGACTTGTCTCCTTACAGAGAAAAGCCTCCATGGGCAACTCATCTGACAGCTGACCATGTCTTGTTGCCTCCAGGGCCAAGGTAAGAATTGTATGCTATGCAGGGTGTGGTGACATAGACTTCTCCATGCCCAAAGGTGCAGCTTTGGAGAGCAAAGGGGGTCTGTTTGGAGGTAAGGGTTAGCTGCTAGGAGCTCCAGGATGAAGGCCAGGAACCCTAGCCTGCAGAGGTGGTGGGAGACTTGGAGAGCTGGATTGGTGGTGGTGGTGGTGGTGGTGGTGGTGGKKGGTGGTAGTGAATATTTGCAGCCAGGACTCTCAGAGGCCCCCAGATAGGGGACAGGAGGGAGCCAGGAGGTCAGGTCTGGACTTCAGGTCACACTGCATCCATTCCGACTGTTTCCTGCTCAGATGCAGTTTGGCCTCTCCTTGCTTTCCAACCTAACCGGCCCCAGATGTGGTGCTGAGCTCATCCCAAGGAGGACAAAAGGCAGTCATCATCCTGAGCAAGAGGGTTGTAGGGGAACCTTGAGCTCCTGGCTAACCCAAACAAGACAGGGCAGCTACTGCCCTAGATGAAAGCCCCCCCCCCTCCCTTCCTCATCCTCCCATTTAGATCTGGGGCAGAAGCCCCTAAGGGCATGGGTAGGAGGAGCAGCAGTGGGCAGAGGAAGCTCGGGATGATCCAGGGAAGGAGGGTTGTCAAATTCCACCCTCTCTTCAAACCTGAGCCTGGTTTCTCTTCCAGAAGCCTTCCCTAACTGTCCCAACTTAACACTCATAGAAGCTGACCATCTCATTTGCTATAGCTGCTAGTGCAGTAGGGTGCTGTGTGCCCATAGCCTGGTGGAAGTGACTTCCTATATCCCTGGTGGCCTGCAGGGGAGGCAGGACTTTCAGCCCCATGGCCAGATCTTAGAGAACCATGCAGCCTCTGCCCAGTCACTGAATGACTGGACGCAGCAGTACCCACCAGGGCTCCACACCCTGCCAGTTACTCACCTTTCCCGTCAGCAGTTCATACAGCAGCGACCCAAAGCTCCACCAGTCACAGGCTTCGGTCAGCTCAGAAATCCCACCCACCTCTGTGGGAACAGGAACACACACATCCCTGCCTCACTCAAAAGGGCCCTCTCCATTCTTCTCATCCTACCACATACTGTCCATCCCCTCTGTCATCCTTAGCCCCCAGAATCAGCCCACACAGAAGTACCAGAGGCCAAGCCCCACCCCCTGCCTTCTTGCCTGGGGCACTGTACAGGAGCTCCGCAGCCTCCCGGCAGCACTGGGGCTCCACTTCTGACCACTGGCCAAAATATGTGAGCCGGATGTGACCTTCATGTCCAGTGTGAATAGGAAGGAATGACAGGGGACAATGGTTGAGGGTACCATCACCAAGCAGCTGGCATGGGGGAGGTGGTTCCAGGGCTTCCCCCAACACAGTCACATGGTGGGAGCCAAAGGTTGCCATGCTGGACAGTCTCCCCAAGAGCACAGCCCCTGAGACCCAGAGGCTCACAGGATGTTCCTGGGAGCTGCTACCCCAGTCTCATGGGGACAAAGGCCAGCCAGACTCCATCAGAGTCCAATGAAAGGCTGGATGGAGGTAGGGGAAAGTGGCACATAACCTAAGAGGTCACCTTGACCCTGGGGGCATCCCACCTGAGAAGGGCAGGGGTAGTGAGACTGGGCCTCCTACCTGCCTGGTCCAGGAGCAGGTTCCTGGGGTTGAGGTCCTGGCACAGCACCCCCTGCTCGTGTAGTGCTTCCAGTGCCACCAACATCTCAGCTGCCCACTGCTTCACCTTCTCCTCCTTCACGCTCCAGACAGCCCCACTGCCTCCTAGGCTGGCCCTGCCCTCTGATGGGTGGCTCTGACCTCTGCCTAGGCCACAGGCCCCCAGCACCCGGCCAGCCCCCTTGCGAACCCAAGGGATCCCCCAAGGGGGCCGAGGGTCTGACCTCTGGCCAGCCCGCCTGGCTTGCAGGTTCAAGCCACTGGGGGCTTTTGTTAGGTCCAAGGAGCAGGAAGTGCTGGTCTTGCCTGTGGATTCACTTTCCGCTTCTCTCTGGGGTCTGAGGGAGGGGGCCTCCTTGGCAGCGGGAAGGCTCTGAGAAGTCCAAGGAGGTTCCGGAGGGATGCTGGCCTGCCTGAGGGTGTGGCCTGGGGGGAGCTGTGCTGGGGTCAGGAGACTGAGGCTGGTGTTGAGCTGGGCCTTCACCTTCTCCTGGGTGGAGCCAGACCTGAGCYCAGAATGTTGGGGGCACGTCTGGGAGAGCAGGTGGGACCAGAGAGTGCCTCCTGGGCCAGGCAAAGGGAGCAGTGAGCATGGGAAGGGAGAAGAAGGGCATGGACACCGGGTCTGGTCTCACTCCCGCCTCCCCTCCATGCTGGGTGTGGACCTCCACCTGCCTGGGCTCCTTCCCTGTTCAACCTCTTCACCTCTGCCCCTGCCTGCCACTCAGCCTCGAAGGCCCAGCCTCCCAGCCTGCATAGCATAGGTGCTGAACCCCAAGACTGCTTTATTTATTGTTGATGGCCTTGTTCTGYGTGGTGGGTTCACCAATGTTCAACATATTCTAATTTTTTTTTTCTTTTTCATAGGAAGACTTATGTAACAACATTCAAAGACCAGGCAGGAATCYATGATGGCTCTATGTCATGACTCAAGGATGTACCTCATTTTTAAAAAATCACTATAATCATCAATAAATATCAGTTACATGGCTCAGTTCCTGTCCTTAAGGCTTTAGTCACCACCATCCTGTGTGGCCATTCTGAGAGACGAGCACCAACCAGAAAAATGAGAAGAGCCAAGACAAGAGGAAATGGTGACCAAGGAGACAGTGTATAAATGCTGTCTCATCTGCTTATGTGCAGACATCCTCCCAGCCCCTGTGACACCAGATGTGCCTGGTGCCAGGTCCTGCCGCCAATCTCCAGAAAGGCTGGATCCCTGATCTGTACTGTGCATCTAGTGAAAGCCACAACCCTCCCCAGGGCTCAGTATTTTAAGGGGGTAGGTGTCAACAATACCAAAGGCCCAAGCTGCTGAGGGGCCCCCTCACCTTGCACATGTTCCAAGTGCAAGAAGATGGAGTCCTCACTCACGGAATACCGTAGCAGCTTTGTCATGTAGGGCACTCCATGCGGGATTATGGTCAGCCGCTCCCGGTTCACCACGTGGCACCTGGGCAGGCTCTGGGGAGGGAGTAGGGTGGGCAGGTCAGCTGGGACTGGTCAGAGGCTGCCACTTCTAGGGATCATCTTAGCCCTTGCTTCAGGGGAATCCAGATAAGAAGTGGGAGCCACTCTGAGGAGCAAATGCCTCTCCAGTTTCTGACCTGGCTTCCCCTTCTTCCCCCAGGAATCAGGTCCTCCACCCTCCTGGCCAAGGTGAGGGTGTGTGTGTGTGTGTGTGTGTGTGTGTGCGCACGTGCGCGCGTGTGTGTCAGGTTAGGAGGCAGGGGCCATGTTCAGGGGCAAAACAATCAGCTTTTAGATTTGGAGAGAGCATGGGCTCCTGATGCACATTCTGAGGACGGGGTTCCCCAGAAGGAAGGGGTTTCAAGAACTCTGAGGAAGTTCCAAGGGGAATGCAGCATGGCGGGAGATGGGCGGCGCCTGCCTTCACCACGAAGGTCCCTCCAGTTGCTGGGTCCTGGACCAGCTGCACCTGCCAAAGTCCAGGAGGCACTGATCAAGGTACATGACAATTCCTGGGGCTCTTTGCCGCCCCCCCCCCCCCCGCACCAGGCTTCTCCACCAAGCTGATCCTCCAGGGAAGGGCAGGGAGGGCAGGCTTTGGTGGCTCAGAGATGTCCTCCACCTCTAAACTGACATCTACCTTGTTCTGTTCTACTCTGCTAGATCTGCAGGTCTCAGCTCTGGGGCTACTTCCTCCCGCATCTGGGGCTCCTAGTCCATCAACAGTGCATTCTGTGCTCACCCTCCGGGAAGCCTTGTCATACCGTGTCTCATTACATATTTGCTCCCTGGACTCTGAGCTCCCTGAGGGCAGGGACCACACTATCTAGTTTTGTATTCCCAGAGCCAAGCACAGCACAGGAATGGAGTGGGTACTTCACACATGCCTGGTGAGTGGCCCCAGTACCAGCTGCTGGGGCTGGGAGGACTTGGATGTGAGAAGAACTTCTCTCCCCCTTCTTGCCCATGCTTGGCCAGGCCAAGCATAAGGAGATCAACCCTTCACTTAGACTTCACCCAGAGCCCACCATTCTGCAGGGTCTGAAGGTGTCACAGCCAGAAGGGACCTCATTTCCTCTGATCCTTGTTTTACAAGTGAGGAAGCTGAGGCTCTGAGTGTACAGCTCCAGGTCATGCGGGCTGAACCATGCCTGGGCTTGGCAATCTTCTTGGGGTCTCTCCCCCTGCCCTGCAGCACCTCCTTTTAAAAAAATAAAGTTCTCTAGCCAGGAGTAGGTCCTGGACCAGCTGCCAAAGTCCAGGAGGCACTGGTCAAGGTACATGACAATTCATGTACCTCGAGGGTGTGTGTGTGTGGGGGGGCGAGGCGCTAAGCAAAAGTGAGGCACTCAGCAGCTCAATGAGATCCTGTCTTTAAGTAAAATACAAAAAAAAAAAAAGGGCTAGGGATGTGACTCAGTGGTTGAGCATCCCTGAGTTCAATCCCCGGTACCAAAAAAAGAAGGAAAAAAAGTTCTTTAAGCCAGGTGTGGTTGTGCCTTACAGCTACATAGGAGGCTACGGCAGGAAAGCTGCTTAAGCCCAGAAGTTCAAGGCCAGCCTGAATGAATAAATCTCTCTCTGGAGGCTGTCTTCAGAAAGCAGCCCCTCCTGGTGTTAGTTTTGGTTACAGGTAGCATTCAGCCAGTTGCTGGTCCACACCTTGTTTGGAGTTGGGTCATTGACTCAACTGGGTGGGCCCAGCTGTAGGAGGGGGCACATGAATGTATCAGGACAAGAAGGCAGAGGGTTCAGCCTAGATAAGGGGCATGTGGAGGCAAGACAGCATCCTGGTGTTGTGACTCCTTGGCCATGATGATGAGTGGGAACCAGACCCTAAGGCCAGACAGTGGTGACAATGCGGCCAGGATTAGGGTAGGGGAAAGTGCATTGCGCATCTACATWTTGGACAAGTGAGGCAATGTTTTCTACCACCAAACGGAATTACAAATATCTACCTTCTCTGCATCATGGGCTTGATGAAGCCTCACATGGGCAAGCCTCTGGGATTGCACAGACTGCGAGAATGGCGTTTATCGCGGTTGCCAATCATGTAGCCTCTCTGAATCTTGCTCTTCTTAACTGCAAAGTGGGTTCATAGCAGTTCCTCCTCCAGAGGGTCATTAGGGGGTTTGATTAAAGCAGTCAATCGAAGTACAAACCCTCATAATCCATATCAAAATTATCAAAAGGCATTGTAGAAGAAATCTATATTGGCTATGAAGAGTTCACTCTGCGCTAGGTACTTGTCACAGGTTACTTTATTCCCACAACCTACCAGGTGACAGTTACTAGTGGCCCATTTTATTGATGAAGAAATTGAGGTTCAGAAAGGTGATATTGCCCACCTATGGTCCCACTGCTAAAAAGTAGCAGTCAGGATTTGACTCAGGGCARGCTGATCCCAGAGTCCTGTAGACCTCATTGCAGCGGGGGGCATGACTAGGTGACCATGGCAAGTTCCTTCCCTTTGGGACTCATTTTCCCCACTATTAGTAAAAAGAAAGCAGCAGACTAGATGAGTGCCAGCCCTTTGCCTGGGAGGTGTCCCTTTGACCACCAGAGGTCTCCCCTTCAGCAGCCAGAGACAGAACCCTGGTTTTGGCTCCTTGACCAAACTTGTGCAATGTTTGAAAAAGAAAGGCAGAAAATTCTGGGATCATTTCAGAGAACAGAGTTTCCCACAAGTACCAGCACCCCGGATAATTCCCCACCATCCCATGCCAAGTGGGATTCCCCACCACCTTGTCCTGGGCAAGGCCCTCTTGATTTACTGTCCAAAAAACCATCAGTGAAGGCAAAGCCAGGATGGCCACTTTACACACACATTGAAAGATTTTGTGTTTAAAAAAAAAAAAAAAAAAGCCTAACTATTTTTCTAGAAAGAAATTAGGCCAAAAACATTAACAGCAATTATCTTGGAGTTAGATAGCAGTAAGTTTTGACTTGTTTTTTTTTCCAGTTTTAAACTCCTTTCTCTTTCATTATATTCTAAAGGGCAGCAAAGAGGGCATTTTCCCATTAATGCAACCAAACAAAAAAATCCCCTTCTTCTTTCGCTTAGTGGCCTGAGGGACCGAGTACTATCTAGCTAGTACTCAACTTCCATGAACCTCAGTTTCATTCTCTGTCAGACAATTATTATGATGCAACAAGTTCAATAGAATTTCCTGCCATGGTAGAAATATTGTATATCTGCACTGTCCAGTGTCGAAGCCATTAGCTTTATGTGACCAGTTAGCCCTTGAAATGTGGCTAGTGCCATTAAGACAGAATACTTGATTTTAATTACTATTAACGTAAATTGTGTTATGTGGCTAATGGCTTCTATACCGAACAGCAACTGTGAGGACCTCTTGCCACAGCACTGGAAATGACAACATGCCTCATGAATGTCAGGTGAGTCTGATAACTGGAAAGATGGAAGGCAGTTTGGGGTGCCTCTTCTTACTTTTCTTAAAAGGTGACTTTTTTTCTTTTTAGAAAAAAAAACCCTACTGAGTTTTTTGGGACACAGAGATGATTAAAACTTTGGTGAAACACAATAAACCCTCTCTTTAAAGATGCCCAAATCTAAGTCCTAGGAGGAATCTTGAACGGAGCAAACAATCCAAAAGATTCAAATAGGTTCTCAAACTCAAAGGCCCACTGAGTATGTGAAAGTGTGTGGGTGGGGGCGCGGAAGGGGACAAGACGAATAGGAGGGCCTGCACCCCCTTGGAAGTKCTCAGCTTCTCCAACCAGGTAGGAATGCAAACCCTGAATTTCCAAGTATTTTGATTYTTTTCAGGAGACGCCAGAAATCTGGATTTCTTATTTGAAATCTGCACGTTTTAAAATATTGGTGACAATCAAAAACAAAAAYACTCCTGTGTTTGAGCCAAATAAAGCAAGAAGTGACTTGAATAACCTTTTTCTTCTTCATGCCTGACTCAGAGGCTGGCTTCTGGAAGAAGCTCAGCAAAAACTGAGTGACATCTCCCTGGTCCCCAGGTTCCTTGAAGATGGACCCTTGGGTGTCCTGGCTGTCTACATAAACCCTGGCCCATGCACCTCCCTGCTCCCTGCTCCCCCTACCCCTGCCAGCTTCTCTTCAGCCCCTAGGGACCCCCCCCCAAAAAAAAAAAAAAAACTGGACACCTTCAGGGCATCTCTGCTGCCTTCCTAGGCCTGCAGCTGCCTTGGGCTGGCACTGCGTTGCCACCCAGATCTGCCTGGGCAGAGCTATGGAATGGGCCCAGTGGCCCTAACACCTTTCCTAATTCGGGGAAAGTGATGTTCCTGTCTTGGGTATGACACAGGAAAAGTAAGCAGGGTCTCAGGAGGGAGCTGAATCCATAAACTGAGTGTGCACGAAAGGGTCACAAAGAAAGAGGGCGACATGGAGACAGCATGGTTAAGTCTGGCCTTAATTTGTGCTTTCAATCTGCACAGCCCTCAGAGTCCTGCTGGAGTTAAACAAATTTGAGGGATGCTGTGTCATGCCTCCCTCCTGGAGTCTCCAAGTATACATTTGCATCCTAAAAGCTCAGAGAACTCCTATCATCCCCACCCCCCCCAAAAAAAAGTAATGAAACCTCAACTCACTGTTTCTCAAACTTATTTAACTTGGAACACCCTTCATCATAACACCTATGATTTAGTGGGAAATGGTCACCTCCCCAGCCTGTCCATGGGAGTGGCTGTRCTTGGTCAAGGTCAGGCTGGGGCTGTATCCACTGAGATAGTGCAGGCGGAGGGGGACTGGCAGATGGAAGCTGGCTGGGCCTTTGGCGACAGTCTGGGGTCTGTTCCAGGGACCTAGGAGAAGCAGCTGTAGCAAAGCCTGGGGCTGGGAGCCTGTGCCTCTTCACTCATGTCACTTGCACTGGGAGCCATCAGACATGCATGGAATATATTTGCATGTGCCAGGCCTTTCCCCAAAATGATTTCATTTTCCTTCTCAGGTCATCCTTTGTGGAGAGAATTCCCACCCCACTTTACAGATGAGAAATCCAAAGCTCAGAGCACTGAGGGACTTGCTTGTGATCACCTTGTGCATTGCCAGGCAGGGGTCTGCTCCCCACAACCCCTCCTCCCACCAGCAGCCACGCCAACCTGTTGCATGGGGGGAAACCCACACTGGTCTGTTTTCTATAAACCCAGAATCACCAAAATCATCCAACAAGTGTTTTAAGTTGCAGAGTCTTGAGTTCAGCTCTGGGTTCAACCTCTAACACCACAGATRTGGGGTGGGGTCCAGGCATCTATATTTTCCAAGTGATTCTGATAAAAGGCCAGTCTGAGAAAAAATTGTTTTAGGGATACTCAGGGAGCCCTGGATGGAGGACAGAGAGGAATCTGACTGGCTCAGCTCTCATTTGACATGTTTGTCCCACTGATTCCCCACTTTAATAATGAATGCCCTGAGTGAGGGTTGAGATGTCATCTCCTGTCTTCCTGTCTGCCCTGAAGTAAGGAAATTCAGATGACGGTGGGGTGCCAGAAGAAAAGGGAAGAGTTCCCAGGCCCTGGACAAGGCAGGCCCACCTGGTCCTCTGCTGAAGAGCTTTGCATGAGCACGTTCCAGTCACAGGGAGTGTTCAGCTGTGTGTTGTGGGCTGCATCCCTGGGGTGCAGACTGAGAGTAGGTGGGGGYCCGTGAGGAGTGGGAGTGGGCAGGACACAAGTGCCTGTCTTGTGCCCTGAGCAGCTTCTCCCTGTGGTCTCTGCTGGCTTTCTGTGTCTGGGTCAGAGCACTGTGGAGAGGGTGCTGGCTGCCTCTCCTCCTTCCCTCGTTACCCTCTTCAGGACCTGACTGGAGYGTGAGAGTGGGAAAGGAGGGGCCCCTGGACTCAGCTGCTCTCTCCTCTGACCCTGTCCACCTGCCCCTGGAGGAGTGCAGGCAGCACTTCAGACCCACGGCCGTCCTACCCACCTCTCCCCTCTGCCACCATGGATGGCACCTACACCCGTGTCTCCCTCCCACTCCTTGGGCATCCACTCACCTTGTCGATGACCCCAACCACCCTGCAGCCCCTCAGCTGCTCCAGGGCAGTGCTCAGTGTGCGGATGGGCCGGAGCCTCAAGCTGCTGAATCCCTGTGGAGGAGGGAGACAGGCACATGTGGGCTCAGGGTTGACTTGCCTCAGGGGTTCCTGGTAGCTGGGAGAGCAGTGGGTACCACAGTGAGTAGGACCAGAGTCCAGGCAGACCCCACCTCACAGGGACAGGCTGAGTTAACAAGCTGGCCTTGACTCGTGGGGGCCCACATTGTTCCAGGGTGGCCAGGCTGACCATTTGGCTCAGCTTCTGCCTTGCCCTCCAAGCCTCCCAAAGTTCTCAGGGTTTCAGAAGTCTCTCAAAAGCCCCATCCACAGGAGACAGATGCTTCAGGGTAAGGGATGGGAAATAACCTGGGCACATGTGGGTTAAGGGAACATGGTTTGAAGACCAAGCCGTCTGCCTTGGGTTAAGGCAGCCTGCAAGATCCAGTGAGCCTAGTTGGTGCACGCGTTTGCCTGTGCACACAAGTAGGCATGGGAACTGTGCATGCATTTCACCCTGATCAAGTACCCACGGGGTTAGCAAAAGCCACATGGGGAAAACCCTGGGCAGACATGTGTACATTTGCATTCATGTGTTTATGTGTGCTCCAGAGACCAGGAGCCTGCTCATTCATAAGAGAAAYGGGCCAGAGGCTCCACACATGTGAGCACGTGAATGCAGCCCTATGCAAGCTGGGGTGGCTGTGTCTGTAAAGTCCTCTGTGACAAGGCGAGACTGGACTAGGGATGATTCAGTGAGTGCCTGAGAATGAATGAGCTGTGAGGGTGTGGGGGATGGAAGAAGCCGGAGAACAGGAGGGGCAGCTCTGGCACCACAGGCTGGCCAACTCTGGGCCTCAGCTCTCTCCCTCAGGACCCTTCCCCGATAAGGGGCCTGGGGAGGGTCTCCTCACCGTGTTGGGACTGGCTCCACTGCCCAGTGTCCGCTGCAGGTGGCAGTTGAAGATCTCCTCAGCCCGCCGCAGGTACTTGGTGACTTTTAGTTTTACTGCCTCACGTCGCTCCTTGTTGGGATCCACTGTAGGGAAACGAGGGTCACCAGGGACTGGCCCTGTCTCCCACCCCTGGCCCTCCCCCAGCTTTAGCTGCCCACCCTTCACCCTCCATAGCAGATGGCTCCTATTTCCAAGACTGCTTCAGCAGCCTCTGTCCCCAGATCTGCTGACCCCCAAATGAGGAGGAGGAAGAGGAGGAAGATGGCACAGTTAGCCAGCTATACTTTACAGTTGGCACCCACCACCTCTCTGGCCACTATCACTCCATGGAAAGGGTCAGGGTGGGGATCCCATGTCCATTTATTCAGAGTGGAGATGAAGTTCCTGGAGAGCATTTCGCCCTCCATCTCTGAGGTCCAGTGTGAAAGGGCATCAGGGTGGAGACCAGATCAGAATTCCATAGACAGGCCCAAAGCCCAAGCTTGGAGGGACCTCTTTAGCAAGAGCATAGGAAGCTGAGTGGAGGCAACTCCTGCCTGTGGCCTGTTCACAGGCCCTCAGGGGTCTCAAACTGGCCGCAGCACTAGCCTTTCTCCCAGGACTCTGCCCTGAGCAGGCCTCTCTCTCCTCTCCAGGCCCTCCCTCTGGAACACCTTGGGCTTCCACCAGATAATGCACGTGCTGTTCTTCAGCATTCAAGTTAGAGTTTTCATTTCTAGAAAATGCCCCCATTAGCCCCATCTGGCCTGTTTCCTGATCCTCTCACACTTCCTCCTCATTGTTCTTCCCACTAATTGGCCATTATCAACTCTTAGCCACACATGACCCTGGAGTGCAAGCTCCAGGGGGGCAGCAACCCACTCAGACCCAGGGGTGGCCAAGTATGCTAAGTCAAGCACACAGCCTTGGCAGCCAAAACTGCTTCCACCCCAGCTGTGCCCCTGGGAGCGGCGGAGCCTTGAGCAAGCTATTTAATTGCCCATGACTCAGTTTTCTTATCTGGAAAATGAGTCTAAAAAAAAAGTTTCTATGGGGCCTGGCTGCAAATGCCTATAGTTCAAGCTACTCTGGTAGCTGAGGTGGGAGGAAGGCTCTTGAGCCCAGGAATTCAAGACCAGCCTGGGCAAGACCCCCATCTCAGCGAGACCCCATCTCAAAAAAAAAAAGATAAGAAGAAAGGAAAACATTCCTACATAGTCATAATTATATGCAACAACCAATATGATCGTTTCTATTACTGTGAGGTTAAATACAGGTAGAGCCCTTAGAAGGGAGCCTGGTACAGAGGAACAGCTTAATAGATGCTAGCTATCATTATTGTCCATCACAGACACCCTGCAGGGCTAGCATAGTGCCCTGCCAAACAGCAGAGGAACAAAGAACAGGACAGATGCATGACAGGGCAAGCCCTGTTCTGGCCCTTCCCCTCCCACGCCCTGTCGCTGCCCAGACCCCCCTCACCATGCACACCGCGGAGCAGCACGTCCACACCGTTCTGGTAGTGGTTGAAGGCTGCCTCGTAGTCCTCACTAACATCACGCTCCAGGGCCAGCCGGATCTGCGTGGCCGCATCCACCAGGTAGTCACGCTTGGTCATGTCAGGTGCTCCCACAGCCACCCTGTTTCGAATCTGCTCTAGGTATACACAGGCCTGGGATCGTGCTCTTGAACAGGGCTCAGGCTCCAGACCTGGGCCAGGCAGGCATTCAAAGGCCACCAGACTCATGGCTGCCTTGCAGCTGGGATCTGGAATTAGCAAATGCATTGGGGAGGACCTAGCTGGGAGTGACACTACTCTCTGTACCCTGAATGTTGGGGAGACTATTTACCTCCAAAAGCCAGAACGATGAGAGCTAATGTGCATAAGTTCCCCCCCAATGAGCCAGATCCTCCCCAAGTGGTGGTTATGATAGAATAACACAGCTTTTTTTTTTTTCCATTCAAATTCAGTTCAAAAGGCTGGGTACGTGGCATCTGTCTGTAACCCCAGCAGCTTGGGAGGCTGAGGTGGGAGAATCACAAGTTCAAAGTCAGCCTCAACAACTTAGCAAGACCTTGACTCAAAAAAATAAAGAGGGCTAGGGATGTGACTCAGTGGTTAAGCACCCCTGGGTTCGATCCCTGGAATAAAAAAAATATACATATTTGAAAAATTCACCTCAACAAATATTTCTTAAGCATATATTATATGATGAGCACCGGAGAAGGTTGAGGCTMTCTGTGACCCAGAGCTGCCTTCATGGGACCTCCACAGAACAAATCTGGTGTGTAGCACGTGTTAAACAAGTGGAGTCCACACATTCTGAGCTAGCTATCATTATTGTCGGTCACAGACACTCCCTGTGCCCCTATGGAAATCTCATTTGCCCTTTGCTTCAGCTCAGTGACACCTCTCCCAGGACAAGATGGACTGTGTGTTCTTTGTTTTGTTTCTCTTGGTCCTGAGGTCAGTGTGGCCAGTGAGTGAGGACCCTCCAGGAACCAGCAGAGAGCTGGGTATAGAGACCAGCCTTGAAGTCCATGGGTAGATAAGAAAACTGAGTGGCAGATTTGGTGCCACTATAGATGGAGTTTGCTGACAAAGGGCAGGAAGGGCAGGGTGACCCAGCCTATGGAGGGGATGGCTTTGACCGCCTGAAAGCCACTAAGCCATGTGGCTTCCAAGGGCCTGACAGCAGCTCCTCCCTCAGCAATGTGTGTCACAGATGGGCAAAGGATAAGAGCAGAGGCTACGGCAAAGGCAGAGTCTCAGAGAGAGGCCAGCCATGCTGCCTCTGCACCTTCCTGTAGCCTCTCTGCCACCTTTGCCCTCAGGAGTCACTGGGAAAGGGCCAACAGGGAACTTCCAAGCCCAGGTCTGTTTGGCCTCTGTTCAGAGAGGGAGACGAAAACAGGATGCATGGAGGGGTGGGTAGGAAACCTACACCCCCCCCCCCCCGCCCCGACAGCGAGGAGCTGGTCCCTGGCCAGGATGCAGCCGGGAGGAAGAGGGAGGCCACCCGTCCCCGCCCTGCCTAGCTCAGGGGACATTCTGCTCTGAGGCCTGTGCTCTGGGGGCACCCAGGCCGATGGGGTTGTGCTGCCCGGGTCAGGCCCTGCCGGGCCGGGTCCCGCCTTCCGAGCCGCAKGTCCACGCCTGGGCACCGCAACCGGCACGTGCAGCCCGCGAGTCCCCGGCACGAGGGTGCACGGTCCCCCAGGGACGGCCGAGGAAGGCTGGGCTGAGGAGGTGGGAGGAAGGGGCCTCGTCGCCTGGGAGGATGGAGGAGAGGGAAAACACCGTACCTGCCCGAGCCAGGCGCCCGGTCCGCGGGGCCGATCTCCCCGACGGCCACCGCCCCTTCAGCCCAGCCGGCGAGGGCGCTCAGCCGGCCGCTGCCTGCGGCCCTCSGGTCAGGTGCGGGGGTCTATCCCGGTGCGTCCCGGCCATTGGCTGCCGATGAGCTCATCCTCCACCCGTTAGAATAAACCACCAATCACCGCCCGGCTCGGCTTCTGCCGGCCCTTAAAGTCGCAGGGTCCGCGCTCCTGGGTGCTGCGCTTGGGGGTGGGGCTGGGAGTTAGAAGAGGGAGGTGGTGAGGTGGGGAGAGGAGGTCTATTGTCCCCCAGGGATGAGAGCCGGGCTGCTTCAGAAATCTGGGTCGACTCGAAAGCACTCGTGGCACTTCTAAGGTTTTTCTCATTCTTTACCTCACTCGCTCATTCAGCTATTTAATCAGGTGTCCAGAGTGTACCCTGCCCTAGAGGCTAGCTGTTGAGGGGCTAGATGCAGTGAGGGTCTAAACAGCTCTGCGCATGTCTTCCTGGGGTTGAGTCTCCAGAGGGACACCCGGATTTAAGAGCTAAAAAATAGCCCCTCGCTGGTGCACACCTGTAATCCCAGAGACTCTGGAGGCTGTGGCAGGAGCATTGCAAGTTCTGAGGCCAGCGTTAGCAATTTAGAGAGATCCCTAGCAGCTTGGAGGGACCCTGTCTCAAAATAAGAAATAAAAGTGACCGGGGACTCGGGGCCAGTGGCACACTCCTGTAATTCCAACGGCACAGGAGGCTGAGACAGGAGGATCTCCTGTCTCCAGCTTCAGCAACTTAGTGGTGCCCTAAGCAACCCAGCAAGACCCTGTCTCTAAATGAAATATTAAAAAGGGCTGGAAATGTGGCTCAGTGGTTAAGCAAGCGCACACTGAATAACAGAGTTCAGATTTGGTTTTATTATGAGGGAGAAGGGGCACAAGGGTCTATGACCTAGTCTGAGGGTTAGAAAGTTTTCGGGAGAAAGTGATACATGAACTGAGCCTTGAGTTTGAGAACACAAGCTTCACCTGAGCCCTTAATGGGGAGGGGGATACCTGCACTGTCCTTCCCTACTGCTCTGGCTGTCCCCTGGATACAGTTCCATACAATTCCCCTCTCCTTACTTCCACTTCTCCATCCTCACTCTCAGCCAGAGTTGTTGCTTTCCCCTTCCCTTGAAGACAGTGGGCCACAGATTCCTATCTAGCCCCATGCCARGTTTGCATGCGCACAACTTCCTCACCTCTTCCATAGAAGGTCTGGCCTGCACCTCATCGAAGCCCATGTTCCATGAGTCCCATGCCATCACCACTCCAGGAGGCCACTCAAGCAATTCTTCCCTTTCCTATGTTATTAACGTTTGGTTCCCATTGGCTCATTCCCATCTGATATAAACAATACCATCTCTCCCTTCTTAAAAGCAAAGCTGCAAAATTTGGAAGGCTGAAGCAGAAGAATGGGTTGAGCCCAGGAATTTGGGGCCATCTTGGAGTGAGACCCATCTCTTAAAAAAAGGGAGGGGAATAAAGAAAACAAAATAAAAGATACTCTGGGCCTTACTTCTGAGATAGGTGGGTTCTCAGGGAAATTAGACAGAGACCTACCAGTATGACCCGCCACGCTTGCCTTTTTAGTTAAATAAACAAAAGTTCCATGGATATGGAACTTATCTATGGGAATAGATAATAGGTTTCCTTTTTGGAGTCATAAACTGTTCTAGATTAGATAGTACTTATGGTTGTACAACCTTGTGAATATACTAAGAACCAGTGGATTATACATTTTATAAGGGTAATTGTCCTGATGTTTCAGTTATCTCTGTGTATGCTTGAACCAGATCAACTAGGACAACAACAGAATCAACTTAAATGTCACCAGATTCAAAGACCCACACAATGTGCCCACAACTGATTAGTGGCTCGACTGCTTAACCAGAACTTTCTGTAATCATAAATATCAAATGATTGACATGGAATTTGATGTTTACCAAAGCTTGCCTGGGAAACTGCACTTGTCATATATGTAGCCAGAGAGCTCCGCCTTGGGTGTGTTCCTCATCTCCTCTTCCCTGAGAAGCAGGGGTGTCCACACCCTGTCTTTAGGGTGTGTGGACCTTTGCAATCCTTCAAGCTTGTGCTTTGCTTCCCACAAGTCCTGGAATTCTTTTCCGTGGTGTGAGTCAAGAACCCCAGACGCTCTCCTCTTGGAGCCAAGTTGCCATTTGACTACCTCCTTGGAGGGACTTCTTTCCCCTTCTGGTGACAGTCCCAATTATCTACCACTATAGGTTTGCAGCAAAATTCCCTAAAAGAGATCTAGATAATTGTTACCAGTTTCTCATTGTTTCTCATTGTCCACTTTTTTTTTTTTTTGTACCAGTGATTGCACCCAGGGATGCTTTACCACTAAGACACATCCCCAGCTCTTTTTATTTTTTTGTTTTGAGACAGGGTCTTGATAAGTTGCCCAGGCTGGCCTCAGACTTGCCATCCTCTGGCCTCAGTCTCCAGAGTAGCTGGGACAATAGGTACACTTCCACTTTTTCTTGAACCCTCTTCCTTGGGGCTGTCCTCTCCCACATTCCTCCAACTGCCCTTGGTCAAGTTACTGATCACCTCCTGRATGCTAAACCCAGTGGTGGTTTCTCATTCGCCAGTGTTCTTGACCTACTGGGAGTATCTGAACCAGGTGGTTGTGTCCTCCTCCTCTTGCCCCGAGCTCTCCAGGCCCACCCTCTCTGGTTTCCTCCTTTCTCCCTGGCCATCGATTCTCAGTTTCTTTTGGTGGCTTTCCTTTTCCTTGTCAGCTGCTGAATGTTAGTGTCTCAGGGCTCAGTTTTCTTTCCCTCTATTCTTGTGTTCTTAATGAGAGATCATACCTTGTCTAGTGATTTTAAATATTATACTTTCCTGTACCTCTGATTCTGTATTTATATATCTCAGCTCTCACCTCTTTGCCTCTTTAATTATTTAGTAGTCTAATAAAACACTTCAAATTCAAAATGTCCAGAACTAAACTCTCAAAACACCCTATGGAATGGGAGAGAAAATATGGAAATCATTAATCAGATAAAGGTCTTGTATCCAGAATATACAAAGAAGTCTTTACAACTTAATAATAAAAAGATAAGCCAGTTTAAAAGAGAGAAAAGGATTGGAATAGGCATTTCTCCAAAGAAGATATGCAAATGGCCAATAAGGTATTCAACCTTCTTAGTCATTAGGGGAATGCAAATTAAACCCACAGTGCAAGGCTACTGCATKCCTGCTGGATAGCCATAACAAACAACAAAACAAAACAAAACACAATAATGAAGGTTGGCAAGGATCTGGAGAAACTGGAATCTTCATCCATCACTGATGAGGTGCAGCTGCTTTGGAAAGCAGTTTGGCAGTGCCTCAAAAAGTTAAATGTAGAGTTACTATATGACCCAGCAATCCACTCCTGGGTGGGTACTCAAGAGAACTAAACACATGTTGACTTGAAAACTAGCACTTTGATGTCAATAGCTGCATTATTTATAATGTATTATTTATAAAGAGGAAACAACTCAAATATCTATCAACTGATGAATAGATAAATAAAATGTGATATATACCTATACTGGAATATTATTCAGCCATTTAAAAAATGACATACTAGCTGGGTGCAGTGGCACACACCTGTATTCCCAGTGGCTGAGGAGGCTGAGGCAGGAGAATTGCAAGTTCAAAGCCAGCCTCATCAATTAGTGAAGCCCAAGTAACTCAGTGAGACCCTGTCTCTAAATGAAATACAAAAAAGTGCTGGTGGGGGGGGCGGGCTGGGGATGTGGCTCAGTGGCTAAGTATCTCTGAATTCAATCTCTGGCACCAAACAATAAAAATAAAAAAATAAAAGAATGAAATACTGATGTGTGCTACAACATGGATGGACCTTAAAAACAGTGTGCTAAATAAAAGAAACCTGGTACAAAAGGCTATGTACTGTATGGTGCCATTTATAGGAAGTTTCCAGAATAGGCAAATCCCTTCATATCAGGAAAGGGGGAATGGATAACAGGTTTCCTTTTTGGAGTCATAAACCATTCTAGATTAGATAGTACTTATGGTTGTACAACCTTATGAATATACTAAGAACCAGTGGATTATACATTTTAAAAGGGTAAATATTCTGATATCTCAATTATCTCAGTTTAAAAATCAAATATATGGGCTAGGGTGTGGTTCATTTGCCCAGCATTCTTGAGACCCTGGGTTAAGTTCCCAGCACCAAAAAAAAAAAAAAATCAACATAAAAAAAAAAAGAACTCTTGAGCCTCCCCTGAAACGCTAGCTATCTGAAGTCTGCTCTTTTCATCCTAATGATTCCTCTGTCAGGATGATCCATTCTGTAATCCCACAGACTCCTGAGGCTGAGGGAGGAGGATCACAAGTTCAAAGACAGCTCAGCAATTTAGCAAGGCCCTAAGCAACTGAGAGAGATCCTGTTTCAAAACAAAACATAAAAAGGCCTGAGGATGTAGCTCAGTGGTAAAGTGCTCATGAATTCAATTCCAAGTACCAATATATATATGGGTGTGTGTATATATATATATATATATATATATATATATATATATACACACACACACACATATATATAAATTTCATTATTATATATTATGTATAGTAACATATATAATATATAACATCATAAGTGGTTATCCATTAACATTTATCCAGAATCCCAGCACTTCCCACCTTCTCCACTGCTAAGACTTTGGTGAAAACTTCTAWATCTTGTGACTCCTTTACTGTAGGAGGGTTTAAAATTAATTAATTTTTAACTGATACATTAAAAACATAAAATTTGTACATATTAGGGTGGTACCATGTAATATTTGGATACATGTATAAACTACATCATGTTAAAAATCAGGTTAATCATGTTTATCTTAGTGTAGGAAATTCCAACTGTCTTCTCTTTCTACCCTTGCCATCCTAAAGGTGACTGACCTTGCATCAGTGAGAACGTCTCAAAGCACAAATCAGTTGCTGTCCTTCATCTGCTCAAAACCCTGAAAGGACTCCCATTTTTTTCCAAGAACTT